CCAAGGGCGAAACTGCAGATAAAAGACAGAAATATGATGGACACTATCTTTCCCTGTTTTATAAATGTCAATAATTTACCTCATTGTGTCTTATTAACAGAAAACATTAGAATAGTTTCACATGCCAGTGATGATGAGGTATGATTTTGAGACCAATTAGTAAGAGTTTAAAGAAAAAGAATTTGGATATTTTAAACATAAATGTTTATATTTATTATAATTATACAAATTATAGATGTTTTCTATAAAAGTAAAAAACTGAAAATGTTTTCAAACTAGATTTAAAAGCTACTGAAGCTGCATGATGGGTATACAGGAACTCTCTCCATTATTATTTTTTTCTACACAACTAAAAGTTTTGTCCCCTCACAAAAAATATTTAAAAAACAAAGCCACTGAAGAACCTGGAAGGGTAAGTTATTGTACTGTCTTGGTTGGAGAAACATACACCATGGCCTTGTACAGCTGATGTTGCTGATGCCTGCTGGATGGGAAGCTGGAAAAGAATTACAGCATGCTCCTTTCCAATAAAACAGTAGCTTGTTGAATAAAGATTAAGCTGCAAACATAACTGTTGAATTAATATCTCATTTGCAGAATTATGCCTGGACTTGCTATTTGCCTTGCATTCATCCAGTGTCAACAGTAACTCCTCATCAAAGATCTTTTATGGAAATGCTTGGCAACAAAACACAAGTGGTGTTGGCTGAAATACTTAACGTATTGAACACTTTTATTGACTTTCACGGTTTATCCTGGAACAGCTGCCCTGACATCTGCACCGATGGTGCAAAAGCAATGAAGGTAAAACCACTGGTGTGTGAGTATTGATTAGGCAAACCCCGTATAGTCACTGTATTGTCCACTGCCACCAGGTAGGTAGACAAGTGACAGGTAAAGATGACAGATAGATGATAGGGAGATGACGGACAGTTTCGTTTAACAATGTCCTTGATGAAACAGCTGGAATTAACGTATTTAATGAATCCCGGCTCTCGGGGCCCTCTGTGTAGCAGGGGCTGCACATGATGGTTCTCCAGAGGAAAAGCGTTTGTGAGGTTACCTGAGCTGCCAGCTGAATGAGGCGCTTTTTTCAAGGAGTACCATTTTTACTGGAAAGAATGACAAACTGGTTCCTCAGACTTGGGTATTTGGCAGACATTTCTTCAGAAATTAATGGGGGAGCCTGTCACTTCAAGGAGAACAACGGATGGTATCTATTATCAATAATAAAATTTGAAATGCCAAGAGAAAATAATTAAAAAACACTTGTATCTGTGACTGTGAGCTTGATAGTTTCCCAATGCCTAAAGACTAACAAATTGTATTAAATAATACGTTTCTTCAAAGCACTAGATGAGATGTGCTTGACCCCTTAAGTTGTACTTGTCATCTGTCCATGATCTTGTATATCCTGTCCAAGCTCATCTAATGATTGTTTCACTTCTCAGAAGAATGGGTCTGGAGTTTGTGGGCCAAGAGAGTATAAGAAGCAACTTAGGAAATACTGAAAACATCTGCCCTGACGCCATCGTCTCTCCCTTCTCCTGCCCTGAATGTTCAGCCTCTCCCTCTCTACTGGATCCTTCCCACCCGCACTGAAACATGCTCAGGGCTCCCTCAATGAAAACAAAACAAAAATGCCCTGTTTAGCTGCCGTCTACCTCTCCGCTTGCTCACAGCCAGGTCTGTGGAAAGAGCTGTATGTCCTTATCAGCTCCATTCTCTCACTTCCTCGTGCTCCTCAACCACTCAGTTTGGCCTTTGCCCCATCGGTCTGCTCCGCAAATGACCTCTGGTCCAGTGGGAAGCCCTTCTCACTTCCCACTTCCGCTGATCAGGCCTCTCTTCACCTCTCACCCATACGTCCTCCCTACGCCCCCGGTGGTGTCTGGGGTCAACAAAGAGGGCGGAACTTCCACAATTTTCTGCTACATGGACATATAAGCACATATATAATTCAGAAGGATGTGTGTTTTATATGTTTATTTTTTTCTGAAATAGAATCACACTGTGCACATTACTTTGCAATTTCCTTTTTCCATCTGACATTATATCTTGGACAGTCTACAAGGCATAAAAAAACATTTCTAGATCCACCTTTAAATTTTTTAAAATTCTGACACATAAATGTATGTATATCAGTCACAACTACCAAGTAAGTGTTAACCATCAGAACAAGTTGTTCCATTTTCATAAATTAGACAGAAAATCTTAGATTTTGCATCCGGGGTCTGTTGAGTGTGTCCGGTGGAGCAGGACCCCTGCTGAAGCTGTAAGTGCAGGGGTTTCAGCTCAATGCGAGGTGAAGGGAGCACGACTTCCCCGGCGCCGGCCCGTCCCACAGCCACTGTATCTTGGGAGGCACAAAGCAACCAACTGAAAACAATGGCTCCACTATCTTTCTGTGTTTTGGGTCTAAATATTACATTAAAGGATACTTTACATTTCTGAGCAAGATGACGTTTGACTCTAAGGCTCTGAAAGTCACTTCGCTGTCTCCTGCAAAGTTGTCACCTTGGGAGTGACAGCCACATTCCAACAACAGTGCTACTTGCTCAAGTGATTTTTGGAAAACTTCCTTTAGTCTAAGCATCTCTCACTTTCTAAATTTTAAAGGCAATTTTAAAAGTAACACCTGCCCTCGGTGGAAGCGGAGCAGAGCAGGTCACCTCACTAACACTCTGCAGCGAATGGTCAGGGAGGGAGAGTCCAGGATCTGCTGACCTGATTCATCACAGAGTAGAGTTGGCCCCAAACGCCAAATCCTTTCCTAAACTTCTAGGGCCCTAGCCGGTTTGGCTCAGTGGATAGAGTGCCGGCCTGTGGACTGAAGGGTCCTGGGTTTGATTCCAGTCAAGGGCACATGCCCGGGTTGCAGGCTCGATCCCCAGTGGGGGCGTGCAGGAGGCAGCTGATCAATGATTCTCTCATCATTGATGTTTCTATCTCTCTCTCTCTCCCTTCCTCTCTGATATCAATAAAAATATTTTTTAAAAACTGCAAAGTTCCAAAAAGCCCAGAAAATGAAAAGATCTCTATATTCCTTCATTTATAGTAGACTATAATTGCTTTCACAGAGAAATTTCCAAAAGTTGAATTTCTGTCAACTAGAACAGTTGAACCAAATGAATTTTCCCTTGCAATACAAAAATAAAGGGGTTAATAGCAACAAAACAGAAAAAAACCCCAAAGGGGTAACACAGGAAGGGAAAAACAGATCTTGAGAGGAACTTTGGGACACGATGGCAACAAGTTATTGAAATTAAATAAGATATTAACTCAAAATAGAATTTAACACAGCACTGAAGGGCCAGGCACAGAGGTGGTGTCTTATCACGTCTTATCACAGGGCCGAGAAGCCTGGGTCAGGGAGCTGGCTTGGCAAAGGTGGCCTGTTTTTGGACGGTTAGTAGGCTAAGATGGATTTTTACATTTTTAAATATTTGAAAAAAAATTTAGTGACATATAAGTCATACAAAATTCAAATTTTACTACCTACAAATAAAGTTTTATGGGAACACAGTCACAGCCATCCAGTTCTGTATTGTTGATCGCTACTTTGAGTGGTTGCAACAGAGACCCTGTGGCCTGCAAAGCCTAAAATATTCACTATCTTCCTCTTTACAGAAAGTGTGCTGATCCCTGTTCTAAACCAGATTTTACTGCCATTATCTCTCTGGTGCCTGCAGCTGGCCCCCTGCCCCTCGGCCCACCTTTGCAGAGGAAGGGCCTGGAGGAGGTGCTGGCCTGGATGTGGGCTGAGGTCCAGAACTGTGCTTGCCCCCCAAGCCGAGCGAGCCAGAACACTCACTGGTGCCACCTGCAGCCTGTGAAGAAAATGGCCTGAGGAGGGACCTACACTTGCAGGTCTCACTCAGCACAGCTGTCCTCCCTGCTGAGGGCTCTTAAATGAACTATCTCCCCATCGGATGACATCAATGGACAGAAACCTGGCTTTTACAAACCTTTTAAACTGAAAGACGCAACTCCAAATAAAAAGGCACCTCCCAGCCTTCACTCCCCACAAAACAGAAAGAACACAGACCGTTTAGTGCTACAGAGAACTAGGGAGGACACCGGGTACGTTTTTTCTAGGTCTGAAGGGAAAACAGTGAGAAGGCATGCCATCTGAAATCGCCTCTCCAGCTGATGAGCCACCGTTCTCTGTACCACTTCACGAGACGCACCCACACTACTTCTGAACCTTCGCGCTCTAAAACAACAGGTAAGCAGGTTTTTCACATCTGAGAAAACCCAGATCAAAAGAATGCAAAAGAACCCAGTAAACTGGTTAGTACTGCCAGCTCTGAACCACACCCTGTACTTGCACACTACGGATTCTCACCGTGAGCCTCATGCCCAATGTTCCCACCATGGAAGGCAGGTGGAGGCCCCTTCAAAGCAAAAAACTCCTGTTGAAGAATTATCTTTCGACCTCCCAGAAATCCCCAGTGCCACCAGGTGTGGCATCCCCGTGCCGGTGGCAGGACGCACACCCGCCATGCGGCAGACAGACTTCAGACATGGCCCCACCAGTTCCCCCTGAACCTCCTGCTGGTTCCCCCCAACCTCCTGCTGGTGGAGTCTAACTGCCGGCCCACACCCTGGGCTGGGATGCACCCTGAGCAGAGGCCGCAGAAGGGATGCTCTGAGACTGCTGAGCCCAGAAGAGGATCAGAAGCTGCCACTTCTTCCCTCTTGGAGCCCAGCGGCCGACTGATAAGGAAGTCCAGGCTAGACCCCGGGGTGATCAGAGGCCCCGTGGAGAGGGGCCCTGGAGGGTGCGTGGCAGCTTGGACACAGAAAGCAGCAGCCACATTCCACCCCGACCAAGACCAGCAGAAAACCCTCCAGCTGAACTCCAGCCAACCTACAGAACCGTGAGAAAGGCAGCAGGGAGAAAAACCACCTTTTCCGGACTAACTTTTCAAGGCAAGGAAGGGACTCAGAATAGTCTGACACAAGTTTCCTACGGGTGTGAAGAGCCTCCAACTTACCTCATCATCTTCATCTTCATCATCATCAGATTCGAGAACACCATCCGGGAACTCTTCTATAAAGAAAAAAATCCATGAGTGACTGTGAACACAGTTGGGAGCCTTGGTCAACAAAATCCTGGGGCTCTGCAGAGACCTGTAAACACCCTAGTGAGAGTAAGTTACATCAAAGCAATCATGCTCCTGGTACCATTTCAGCCATAGTTTGATTTTAAATATATCTCTCCATTTTTACCAGAACACACTAGTAGTTGCATGAGAAAAAGTAAAAGCCAACACACAATTTCAGGGGCATTCAGGGGAGAGTAAGCCAGTATTATTGCTAGGCCTTGTGCTGGATCCTGCCACACATGTTATTTCACTCAATTCTAATGAAGATTTTGTCGCCTCTTATCCCCATTTTATAGCAACTGGAGACACAGAGACGATAAGGGACTTGTTTATGGCCACATTCCCAGTAAGTCACAGAGTTGAGATTCAAACTGATTCTAATTTTTAAACCCCATGATGTTTCCACCTTCCGCAAAGGGCCTGCAAGCAAGTGGCTTTCAAAATGGAGGTGCTGCGATGTTCATCAGTGACAAACCTTTCTTTTCAAATATGGAAAAGCCTTAAAAAAAGGGAGAGAATCTTAGACATTTCATGAGGCCACAGGCTAATCCAGGGGGCGTGGTCATGGCAGGTCGGGTTCCTGAAGGCTCTTGGGGTTCACTGCTAGATCTTGAAAGACTTTACAAAGGAGGAATACATTAGTAGGGCAATGGAGTCACAGAAAGAATAAGCCTCTGTTTCTTTGTCTGTAAAATGGGTATGAGACCACCTACTTCCTAGGATTGTCGGGAGGGTCTTACACACGCCAGAACTAAACCACCCGGCCCAGGGCCAGGTCCACAGCAGGCATTGCATAGAACTTAGTTACCTTCCCTCCATGAAGCCTTCCTCGATCCCTCACTGAGCAGTCGCCAGTGTCTCCCCTGAACACACTCGGCATTTATCTACAACCTGGTCATGATCACCACTTTTGGACAATCCATGTTTACTAACGATGGCTGCTGACTTGCCTGGGATCCTCCTCACCCACTGTGCTGGATAGTGAGTCCCTGGGAACAGCGCCCCGACTTACTCATCTCTGTGCCCCTCTGCACCTTCCTCATTATCACTCATTTCTTGAACAGATGACATGAAAGTAAAGAATGCCTGAAAGAGGACAGGAAGTCAAACAGGAAGGAGGAGGAAAGAAGGAACCAAGGCTATTACTCTTGAAGAGGCTGGTGGCAGATTCACCCTAACTAATCAAGCCCCAAGCCATTTCCTAGGAGGGAATATGTAGAAACCTCGGGACAGCCCTCATTCTAAAGGGAAGGCCCACTGACTTAGCTGGCCCGCGGCCAGCAGGACACACCTGTGGGGCCTGCATGCCTCCGCGCCTCTCGGGCCGAGCTGTCGTCATGGAATCTGTTTAGTCAGAAAGCCACTCTGCAGACAGGAGGCTGCTGTCACTCTGAAGCGTAATTACCTGACTATTCCCCACCGGCCCCTGGGCAGCATGACCGAACTCCACCTTCCCCAAAGGGCCTGCAAGCAAGTGGCTTTCAAATGGAGGTGACAACCCTTTCTTTTCAAACATGGAAATGCCTTTAAAAAAAGAAGCTTAGACAATTCATGAGGCGTCAGGCTGCTCCAGCCATATTCCCATCCCTGAGCCGACTGGTTCAGACTCATCCTATCTCAGAGCCACCCAGTCCTGGGAACTGAAGTGCTTAGAGACCTCGGCTTTCCTCTCTGGAGGGAGGGAACGGGAGCCCTGCCCCACACTGTTCCCGGCTGTGGCTCCCCAGTAACTACCAGGGCATGGCTCCGCAGCTGCCAGTACCCTTCCTTCCCTGAGAGCCGTGACCGGTCAGGCCTTCGTGTCCTCTCTTCAGGGACCGGCCAGTATCTGCTCCCCTAGCTGAGGGCTGGGTTACCCCTTAGGCCTCACCAGAGTAGTCCTTCTCCACCTGTGGGTTAGGTTCCAACATATACTGGAATCTCTGTACTTGAAAATCTTCAAACTCTATTGGGAAAATAGCGCTGGAGGACTGAGAGGGACTTGAAAGTCTGAAAACCCAATCACAGGTTCTTACTTTCACTCAACTGAAATGAGGCCATGCCACTGTGCGGATCTTACACCAGCGAGCTGCTGCCGCCTCCCCTCTGCTGTCAGTTCGCCCCTGAGGAGGAAGCCGCTGGACAGACGCCCTCCAGCTCCCCCTCCTCCAGGTCCATCACGCAGCTGGTGGTTCACTTGTTAGGCCCGTGGTTGGCAAGCTGCGGCTCGCGAGCCACATGCGGCTCTTTGGCCCCTTGAGTGTGGCTCTTCCTAAGCCTTAGGAGTACCCTAATTAAGTTAATAACAATGTACCTACCTATATAGTTTAAGTTTAAAAAATTTGGCTCTCAAAAGAAATTTTTGCCGACCACTGTGTTAGGGCATTTGCACTTGTCAGTCTGGCCTCCATCCAAACGCTCACCGACTTTCTAATCTAATATTGTGTCAGAGTAGCAGACTCCTGTGGAATCATCTCTGGGCCCTGCCATTGTCCTTTGGGTACAGAATAACTCAGGTGCTTGAGATAAAAGGGAAATACTTCAGATCGTCTCTATTTAAACTGGAACTTACTGAGTTAAGCAGGTATTTCCCAAGCTTTTCCTGAACACACAAGGTTACACAGCCCAGCTCTGCCCAGATAACTTCTTGCCAAAGCACATCCCGTATACCGACCCCTCCCAGCTCACATTCTTCAGCAAACTGGTTCGAGTGCCAGTTTTATGGAAGGAAAAGAGATGTTTTCTAGCCAGAGATGGAGAGGGAGGGGCCCATCCTGCTTCTTGGCTGCCAGGGAGGTGGGAAGGCTGACCAAGAAATGGAGGTGGTGAGTGTCGGTAAAACTGCAACGCAGTCGGCCCTGAAGGGGAGTCCCGACAGCAGGACCCTGCAGCTGCAGAGGAGCCTGGCCCGGGAGGGAGCCTCAGGGGGGCGGTGACCCTGGAGAAGACAGGGAACAGCTTTCCCCGGCCATTCGCCACCTTCCCCAGCTGGGGCTGCTACCCACAGAAGGTTAGGGAGCAGCCTCAGCCGGGACTGAGGGTAAGGTTTTCTTTCACTTAATTTTTTTTAACCTGTCCACCCAGCAGAATGGAGGCCCAAAGTCAGAATCGAAGTCGTTGCAGAAAATAAAGTCCTATTCCTGTCCGCCTGGATTTGGGATGAACTGTACTTGCTCCGTGAAACCAGAGGAAGGTGTTCAGGTGGAAACGGGCCCCGGCCTGGGGGAGCCGAGCTCTCAGACTCCTGGCTGCTGCCTCGCTGCCTCCTGTCTGTCAGGAGCCCCGTGAGGCCCTCCTATGCCTCCCCCGTTTCCGAGACAGGGATTCGCCACTTTGGCTGCGTTTGGAATCACCTGGAAGCTTTAAACACGATTTGCAGCTGGGCCCCCAGAGGTTCTGGTTTAAGTAGGGTGGGGGCTGCCCTGTGCAGCCAGGCTGTGCACCGGGAGCTGGAGGAACCACCTGCAGGCTTCTTCCAGGAAAGGGCATCTGGCATCCCTCTGCCTGGCTTCGGCCAAGCTGCTGACTTGGGATCAGAGCAGAGATGGAGAGATTCCGTGTTTCACCTTGTTCGTGTGCTGAACAGATTTGTGCACTTGGATTCTCAATGATGGGGACGTTTGGAGTCAAGAAAGGATAGGTAGAGAGACATAAGTGACGTGTTTGGCCCCTAGGTGCTGGCAGTGCAGGTGCCCCTGGCACATGTACAAGTCAGGATGAGGGTGTCGGCAATCCACAAAAAGCACTGTTTCCCCCCACCACCCCAGTCCCATCCAGGGCATCCCTCACCAGCTTTTCTGCTCATTATGGGATGTGGGTTGTCATGGTAATGGAGGAAGCTGGATAGAAAGGAGATCACATCCTCCCATGCTCTCAATGGCAACATAACTTTTCCTGGAGTGGATGAGTGCATGTGAAAGGAGGATCACGTTTTCGACCGTGGCGCTGGGAAGACCGGCATCTGTCTTCATTATTTACCCGAGGACTTGGGGAAGCCACTCTTTGGAGGTGGGGGGAGGATTAGGAGAGACCCACATAAAGGGAACTTATAGGTAGAGAAGGGTTTTGTTGACTATCAGCCTGAAGTGTGGTAAGTGATTGTTGATTTGGGAAAATGTGGCCTTGACTACCTGGGTGAACTTTTGTTTCAACCAGGTAGTCCAAGATATGACAAGCCCTCTCATATCTTTCTGGCACATGTGAAAGATTAAAAAGATAGCTTATAGATTCTTGCATCAAACGGACCTGAATTAAGCTGCTTGATGATGAATTCGATCTGGCGGATCATTTCAGCGTTGCCTTCTTTCATGAAGCAGCGAAGGATGTCTTCCATTCCCTAAGGCATTGGAGAGATAACCGTTAACATGTCGTAGTTTCAGCTAATCCTCCCCAAACACTTTCTTCTCTATGCACAAAGAAAAGTCCTCAGCTCAGCACTAAAAATTTTTTTTGTTCTTTTTATAATGCACAGTGAAATTATTTCCTTTTTGGTTGATTATCTGACCCAATTACAACACACTTAGTCAAAAAACAAAAAACAATGGTCATACAACTTTACTGCATAAATATTTCCTTTAGTTTGGCAATATGTTGTTGTTGTTGTTGTTGTTTTGGGGGGGGTGGTCTTTCCTTAAATTTACACACTGCCTTCTAGATTTTAGGGCCAAATTTGGTCTTTGAAAAGTAAAATCTATGCTCAGGGAAATAAATGAACAAATAGGACCTTTTTTAAAGCAGTTATTCTGTTTGTATCAAAAGAATTATAAAGTCACTACATTATGTACTACTTTATTACAAAATACTGACATCATAGCTTTCAATACTAACAGAATTTCAGGGAAATGTAGAGCTAAGTGTCTATTTCCTCCTTCTCTTTCCTTGCATGATGTGAATGAGTATGTGTGGCTGGACCTGACAAAGCTTTCTCACCACCACGAGGGAAATGAGTATCTAATAATGAACTCAAAAGAGGAAGCAGAGTCCAGAGGTGCAGGCAAAGAAATGGATCTAGGAACATGTGGACCCTGGAACAGCTTGCTGTGCCTGAAACTTATGCCTGGACTGTCCAGTTATATGAGCTAACAAGTTCCCTTCTCATGCAGGCCAGGTTGGAATCCATAGCTCTAGAACTGAATTAAAGAAGTGCCAAGAGTAGCTTTAAACACGGTAATTCCCATCATGTAAAGCAGAGCATTAGTCCTGGCTAGGTATCTAAGTGGTTAGAGCATTGTCCTGATGTGCCAAGGCTGTGGGGTTGAACCCGGCCAGGGCACATACAAGAAGCAACCAATGAATGCATAAATAAGTGGGACAACAAATCGATGTTTCTCTCTCTTTCCCCCATCCTCTCTCTAAATCAATAAATAAAATAAAAAATAAAGCAGAGCATCATCTCCTTCTAGAGAGGTTAAATCTGGATTGTCATCCTAGCTCCCCGCAAGTTAACTGTGTGACCTCGGTCACGTTACGTAACCTCTCTCAACTACAAAGTGAGGATAGCAACTTGAGCAAACATGAGAGCTTTAAAGATAAAGTATATCATCGGGTGTTGGTTTTGTAGGTGTATACATCTGTCAAATGTATTAACTGTACATGCAGGGCCTGTGAATCTCATTGTGAATTAAGCCTCAAAATACAGTGTCTAGTCCAATGGCCGGCACACAGCAGATGCTCAATCAAGGGTTGAGACTGCTTGTTGTGGGGCTGGTGGCTCAGGAGAGAGAGCTGGCAGCTAAAGCCAAGGGATACAGGAGGCTCCCAGTGACAGCAGAGTGAGAAGAGGGTGAAGATGGAACCTTAGAGAACAGGCGGGCAGAGGCAGACAAGCGCACAGGAGAACCTGAAGGGGGGTCGGGAGGAAAGAGCTCTGGAAAGTGCTTAAGTTGAGATGAGCATTTCCAAGAAGGCGTGGTCAGCGGTGCTGAGGGCTCCTGCGGGACCGTCAGATGCCTGGGCTTGTCTGACCAAAGCGACAGGCCCTTCACTGTCAGGAACGCTGAGTTTATGCCTCTCCGTCTCCTAAACTGGTCTCCACATTCTCACCTCCACCCAAGGTGAGGGCAGAGGAGGAAGAGTGTGTGAAGCAAAAGCAGTATAAGCCCCAAAAGGCCAAAGACCGGGTCACCATGCACCGTCAAGGTCAATGTCTTTAATCAGTGGAGTGAGATGTTCACTCAGGCTCTCCTCTAACTTTTCCTTCTCAGACGTTACTTTTGCAAACGATCATCTGCTCATATATTGAAAAATATATTTTTTCCCACTTGCTCTCTTGCATGTAGCTCTAGCTCAGTTGTTACTTAGGGGTTAAAAAAAGAAAAAGAAAATGAAAATCACCACTTCCTTCTCTGTAATTAGCAGGATCATTTGAGGGAAGATTTCTTAATAAAAAATTCTCCAGGCACATGACCCAGATTCTGCCAATCAATGTACCCGCGTGAGACTCACTGGGAAGCGGGCGATGTGACAGGTGGGAAGCAGCGGCATCCAGTCCTTTGGGGACAGTAGAGGCAGTTTTTTTGGCTTCATGGGCGTGAGCCGTGGGCGTGGGGTCATGGTACAAGCTGCCGTGGTCCAGCTGTCACCGGAGCAGCCTCTGGAGCATGTGGGCATCCTCCTGGCCGCGTAGCTGCTAACCCAGCTCCTGACCGGGCACCTGGTCTGCACCAGCCCAGGCAGGACGTTTGGCGGGTTCACCTCCCTGGGGACTCCAGCCCAGCTGCCCCCGCCTGGACACAGGCATCGGTGCGGTGGGCTAGTGGTGCCCCACTGCTCTGCTCTGCTCTCCGGCCCAGACCGCGACAGTCTCTCAAAGCTCACACAGGCTTCAGGGCACTCATTTATCTTTCTCTCCCTATTATTTAAAACCACGTAATAGCATTTGGTACTGATAGAACTTTTATGTAGTCTTGATCATTTCCCACAAGTACACAAATGTTTTACACAGTTGCAAAACCAGAGTTGTTATACTGTCATAGTCTGCTCTTATCTCTCATTACACAGTTACATTTTCCATACTGCCTCACACTGCTTTTCCGAATTATCATCTTCAATGGCCATGAATAGTTGGGGCAAAGGGACATAATTTCATTAGCAACTCCTCCGTTACCAGGCACTCATGCTGCTTCCAGTTATATTACAAACATGTTGATAGTGCAGTGAAGGCCTGGGGGAGGGGGTGTAGAGGGAGTCGACAGGGGGAGAAAGGGGACACCTATAATACCTTCAATAATAAAGATACATTTTTAAAATTGATTTCAGAAGAGAAGGGAGAGGGGAGAGAGAGATAGAAACATCCATGAGAGAGAATCATTGATTGTCTGCCTCCTGCACGCCCCCACTGGAGATCAAGCCCGAAACCCAGGCATGTGTCCTGACCAGGAATCGAACTGTGACCTCCTGGTTCATAGTATGATGCTCAACCACTGAGCCACGGCGGCCGGGCAATAAATTAAAAACAAACAAACAAACAAACAAAACATGTTGAAATGAGCATCTCTGGTAAAGCTCCTTTTCTGCATCGATGAGCAAAGGAGAATAAATGAGTCAGAGGTGGAGGTTTTAGTGGTTTCTCATGGAGACGACCAACTGCCTTCCGAAAGGGCTGTGCACGCCTGTGAACACCAGCAGGCTGAGAGGCGGCTCTGACTCCCTTTCCCCAGCACATCACGAGCTGAGGAAGGTGGTGAGATTATGATGTTTCCCCCTCATTGCCTGATTATCTATATTCTAGTCATATGCAAAAAGAATGTAATTCCTTTATCAATTGAAAGACTTCCTCAGGGATAAGAGTGAACTGTGGGAAATCTCAGGGTTTTGAGAGTTTGGCCACAATCTCCCTGAGAGGCCTCTCTTACGAACAGTTAAATAGGCAACCACTTCAGTGCTGTGTCCAGAAGCTTCCCCGCTCAGGCTGCCGGGTTCCTCTAGACTTGACTTCAACGCCCGTTAAAATGCCCAAGGGAGGCTGTGCTGCTTACACCTTTCCTAAGTGGTCCAGGTTTTCTTCTTCAAGCCCACAGTACAGTCATTCAGAGGCTGTCTAGAAACGCATGTCTGAAACCACAAAGGAAAATCTGAACAGATTCAACTAGAACTACAGCCTTGGCTGCCGGGCTGAAGTCCTGGCTAAAACAATGCGAGACCATCACAGCTAGAACCATCCCACTCACCTGCTCCTGAACTTTGTCCCACAGAAACGGAGAGGGGTAAAAAAGCTTTTAAGCCACTAAGCTTTGGGGTAACTTGTTATGCAGCAATAGATAACTCTTACAAGTAGCAACACTTTCATTTCCAAACATTGGAGATTTCCTAGACGCCTTGTTTACGCAACCTTTCTTCTGCCCCGTTATGGCTCTCTCCTCTCCTGCTGGGACTCCAGGTGAGACCACTGGACATGGTCACAGTCTCTGAGCTCACAGCTCTTTCCCTCTCTTTCTCCCCTACTACCCCTGGCCAGGATGACCTCTGGGGGCCATCCTCTCTAATGTCTTACAACTTCGTGTCTCTCCTCCCCACTTGGTCCCTGTCCCTTCACTGCCATCCCCTCCGGCCTTTCCACCCGTTGCCCTGCAGGTCTTTCCTCCATGCTGCCTTTCACCCCTTTAATTCCATGTCACCTCCATTCTTTCTTTCTCTGCAGCCCATGTTTTGTTCCTTGTGCCCTAGTTGGCTGGCAATTCCTCTCTTCCACCTGAATGACCATAATGCAGAATTTAATCACGTTTATTCTCCCCTGTTCTGTATTGAGACAACAGATTTTTAATTTAAAGGCAGTAGGCAATTAACTCCCATTGTTGACTTGTGACCACACAGAATGGTTAAATGAGTTTTTATCTCTAGTGTAACTGATGATGTAATTTAGATGGCCACTAGAAGACTGAACAATTCTTCTAAGTAAACAAAACCAAGTGGAAGGCCATGTCTTGTTGGTCTCAAACTAAATTTAGCCTCTGGAAATACATTTAATCCTTTCATCACATTTAAAATATATATTTTTTTATTGATTTCAGAGAGGAAGGGAGAGGGAGAGAGAGATAGAAACATCAATGATGACAGAGAATCACTGACTGGCTGCCTTCTGCACGCTCCACACTGGGGATGAGCCTGCAACCCGGGCATGTGCCCTGACCGGGAATCGAACCACGACCTCTCGGTTCACAAGTCAATGCTCAACCACTGAACCACGCCGGCTGGGCTACCACAGCATTTAATATGTACATTGTTAACGGGGTTTCACATCCTCTCTATCTCATCCCAAGGACAAAACTCCAGGGTTTGGGGGATCAGATACATCTAGATACATCTGTCATCGCCAGACACAACACTAACCACGTATGGCTTGTTTTAAACTTCAAATACAAGCACTAACGTAGACACATTAAATACGGAATTCACTGTTTAGCAAACAAGCCTCTGGGCTGTATGTCATCTTCACCAGCCTTTCTGTCCCACTGGGGTGCTCTAGAACAGCGGTTCTCAACCTATGGGTCGCGACCCCTTTGGGGGTCGAATGACCCTTTCACAGGGGTCACCTAAGACCATTGGAAAACACATATATAATTACATATTGTTTTTGTGATTAATCACTATGCTTTAATTTTGTTCAATTTGTAACAATGAAATTGGGGTCACCACAACATGAGGAACTGTATTATAGGTCGCGGCATTAGGAAGGTTGAGAACCACTGCTCTAGAATGTCTGCAGATTCAGGGAGTTTTGATTGTACCAATTCTCAGGCTGCCACAATTCCTCCGGGAGTCCTGCAGGTGAATCTGAGTGATGGTTTCTCCATCTCACCATTTTCCTATTAAGCTTCTGCTACTACAAAATCCATAAGCATCCCCCAATCCCAAATTTACATGAGTCATTTAAATTTAAAAAAGAATGTCGACAACTTTCCAAAAATAAACCTGCTGGAAACTTTCTAACACTGTGGTTCTTAATCATTGAAGGGATCCCTTGAGAGTCTGATAAAAGCTACAGACTCTCATCAAAAAACTGCAAAGATAGGGTGTCCCAGAAAAATGTATACACACACTTTGAATAATGATAAAGGCTGTGTTTATTCAAATACATTTCATTTTAAAAATTGAACTACTGGCTGTTAAAGCGTGTGTACATTCTGAGGGACACCCTGTATGTGTCTAGTGTACAATTCTGGGAGTTCATAAACTGCCCAAGAACCCTCCAGGGGCTGGTCCAGGAAGCCCTTGCTCTCACAGTGACGGGGCACTGACCGAAGCGGACATGTGTCTCAGAGTGTTCCTTACCATCGCTCTCGCTTCCTCACGGATGGACGGGATAGAGAGGATGCTGTACAGTGCTCCATTCACGTATGGCTGTATCTTTAAGGGGAGAAAAAGCAGTCACTTGTAAGTTCTCATATACTAGACAACGCAATTACCAAACAGCACACTGAGACACTGGCTGATGAGGACGGAGTGTCTCCAAATGACAGATGTTCCCCACCTGCATGTCCCAGTGACAGCTGTAACAAAGAGTCCAGAACCCACCATCGGTCATCCAGGGTGGCAACTCAGGAGTCATCACCGACTCCTCTCTCTTTTCACTCTCCTTTGTGGAGTCCCCACTCTGTCTTTGATAGGAACTCCTTTCCCATCCGCATGCTACTGTCCTTGTTCAGACAACATGTCCATGACATAGGCTACACCAACCTCCAAATGAGTCTCTACCTTTGATTCGCACCTTTTAGTCCAACTGTCACATCACTGCCCAAATCCCCGCTCTCCCTACCTCGGACACCAGCTACAGTCCACCTGGGCCGTCTTACCTCCTTAGTGCGCACGCAGGACCCTTCGGGTTTGGCCTCTATCCCCTCCCTCCCTGCCGCTGTGAAGTGCACACTGCAGAGTCCACACTGTAGGGGACGCCCGCACCATGCTGAGACATGCCTTGTGCCTGGGCCCCGGTTCTAACAGTTCACTTTGCTGGGTGCACTCCCCACTGCAAAGCTATGACTCCTCCTCTCACACCAGCTCAGACATGTCAGAGGGAGCACTTCCTGAGCTCCCGGTGGAGGCTCTGCTCTGCCCCTCACGTGCCTCCACCACTGACTGGAGCCGGTGTCGTTGAGATTTATACTTGTTTCTCCCGTCTTATTCACAGAGGTGCACTTCACAGGTGGCAGCGAGATGGAGGCAACCAAAGTGGACAGCCCTGGGGAGCAGGCAGCCCTGGGGAGTGGGCAGCCCTGGGGAGCGGGCAGCCCTGGGGAGTGGGCAGCCCTGGGGAGCGGGCAGCCCTGGGGAGCGGGCAGCCCTGGGGAGCAGGCAGGGAAAGTGGGAGGGCTGCAAATGGAAGCCCATACTGCAGTAGTGAGAGCTGTTCATCACAGAGATGTGCACAGAGCAACACAGAAGGTCCCGAAAATGCAGGGAAAATGTAAGGAAAGTAATGAGATCTAGAGTGCAACACTATTTATATAAAATAAATACACATAATATTAATGCATTTTCAGACTACCTACATGTCCGCAGACACATGTTAATCACAACAGAGGAATGTCAACGTGGGGGGAATGAAGCGCCATGGAAGACAAGGAGAAAAGTAACCCTTAGGGGCAGCTGGCACAGGCCGGTGCTGGTGGTGTGCCCATGAGGGAGGCGTGCTGGGGAGACTTCCTGCTCCTGAGTCTAGAATTCAGAAATTATGAAAGCTCTGAAGTAGCTTATGCAAATATTGCAGAAGGGAGAGTGTGGTAACTGTCCCCGGCCAGCCCGCCCGAGCCCTTGTGGCTGAGTACCTCGTGGTTTTCATGGCCCAGCAGATCCGAAAGAACTTTCAGTACGAGGCCCGCCACTGAGGCGCACATGTTCTTCCCTTAAGAAAACAAAACAAAACAAAACAAAACAAACATGACGTGTCTAAACTCAGAAGCACAAGGCCAGTCAGACTTGAATACAAATCTTGGCTCCTCTGCTTATGAGCTGTGTGACCTTGGGTGAGTCACTTCACCGATCTGGGCCCAGTTCCCTCCTCTGGGACCCGTAGATCATTGCTATCCACCTCAAAGGGTGGCGTGGAGTGAAGTACAGGAATAGGCTACACTCCTGTGCTCAGCAAATGGGGTTAGTGTCCTTCAGGCAGAGCACGAGCTCTTCACCACAGTGAAATTCTGCCTCACACAGACCATCACCATCAAAATCAAACAGGTCATCAAACACTCCCTGCCGGGAGGCCAGTGGCAGCAAGAAAAGCTGACCATGAACTAGGAACGGTTTGAAGCTGTGACTCGGGCACAGGCTCGTTCGGAAACAGAAGGTTGAAGTGGTCATTGACTCGGTCAGCAGCACTGGGCTTCCGATGACAAAGCATCCAAGGGGGAAGGCGCTGCTAACAAGCCCCGAGCCCCCTCCACGTAACCTGCCAACACTGGGCTACGCAGGCTGAGCTCAGCCACAGGCTGGCCTTGGCCCCTCTTCTAAGGAAGCGTCTTTCACCACAGGGAACACATCGCTTACGTGGGGCAGAGCCTGTGGAAAAGCTAACATCATTACCTTTATTGATCAAGTACGTGAATGACTTGTGATTAAGGGCAGGCAACAGGCTCGGCCATCAATTTAATCCTGTACAATCTTGGGAACATACTTCTCTGCCTTCAGACAGAAGGGATTCTAATTCTTAACCTCCTACCTTTGAGTAATGCAACGAAGATGAAGAAAAACATGAACTAATTCAATTCCCTCTTAATGCTGGTGCTACATACATATATCGCATATGGGTGGTTATATTTATGGGAATTTATATATATCTATACACATTCTTTCCAAGGCCAGACTGGTATTTTGGCTTCAGGGATTCACAGCTTGATACCCAGTTGGAAATGCTTTACACTCCTCCTGTCTCCTGTTTTCTACGAGGGAGACTAGAGGAAGCCATGCCAGGCTCATGGGTCATCGGATTCAAGGGTCAGGACCTCTCCCCTCCCGCACACTGGAGCCTGGAGCTGGGGCCCGGGCCGGGAGGCTGTGAGACCTGCACTCCGGAGGCAGAGGTTCATGAGCAGAGCCACCGAGTACTCCAGCGTGTAGTCGGACAGGCAATCGGGCTCCTTCAGAATGTCGATCAGCCAGAAGATGAGGCCATCCTGAATCATGGCTGTCTGCAGCGGGCGCCTGGGAGGAAACAGCCCACAGGTCAATTCAAGTTGGCGAGAAACTTCATACAGGAGGACACAGCAACAGGAAGGCATGTCAGAGAAGACCAAGTGCACGAGATACTGATGCGGAGGAATATTTCACTGTCAGACCCATACAACTGAAACAACAAATTCTTTACCTTTCACGGGTAGATTAAGAGTTTAAAGAAATACAGTGGGGCCTTGACTTACGAGTGTTCTGACTAACAAGTTTTTCGAGATACGAGCCGTCTCTTGGCCGATATTTTGCTTTGAGTTGCGAGCTAAAATTCGGGTTACGAGCCAGCTTCAGATACCCCACCGCTAGTTGGCGCAGCGAACGTCACAGTGAACGCCACAACATCAGCCCAGCATCACGTGTCTCACTTGTTCACAACTGATTTGACATACACTCGAGTAATTTGAGTTACGAGCTTCGTCACGGAACGAATTATACTCGTAAGTCAAGGCCCCACTGTATAAGGCAGTAAGGAGGCCTCCTACTTTGAACGTTTCCTTTCCAATATTTAAAATATTTATTGATAGCTTTTGGTCTACTTAACCCGAGAAGCAGAGCCGTAGAAATAGTTCACTGACAAACAAATATTTACTAAACTCTAGTCTATTATCATTTAGCTTAGGCATTTTGCTCTGTGAAAAAAATAAAGAAAACATAAAAGAAGCAAAAAATCAGCTCAATACCATTTTGATTCAGAGCTCTACAGAGTAAGGTTGACTTAATGACCTGGATAATACAATTTACACAGAACTGTATTCCCCCCAAAGTCCAGGTGTCACAGCTTAGAAAATGCAGTGCCTCGTCGGAATGTGCAATGGTGCCTGTCAGCACACAGGCCTTAGAACTGACAACACTGAGCCTGATACCACCACCAGCAGTCGTCTGAATTCTCTGAAAATCAAAGCAGCGCTGTGCACCTCCTGAGGGACAGACAGGTCATGGTGAGTCTGCCTGCAGACGGCACCTGCTCGTGCTGGTCTTCGCACCCACCAGTGACCTTTAGTAGCACACAGTGAGGACGCACCCTCTTGGTGAGCCTAACTACTTTCTACCTACATTGTCGAGACCCTGGAAACATTAGCATGTTTCCAAAACAGAAAGCTTAAATGACTGTTTGGAGGAAAAGGAAAAATTGGCAGTAAATGTTTGCATTACCAGGCGGAAGTATTTCTTCACCTTATCTTAGCTGTTATTTAACTAAGCTATTGAATTTCTAAAAATTTTCCAGCCAGCTATTATCTTTTTAAACAAACAGAAATGAAGTGTTTATGTGATTTGAGGAAGTAATAACTCTGGAGATTATTCACAGTTCTTTTCCATTCATAGAGTTAGGATAAGAAATTTTCATTGACAGGAACCTGGCAAATAGCAAGAGCTGACCACCTGCCACTCTTTCCCACCAAGCGTATGTACACGTAGAATGTCACTTGGCAGCCTGGCAGGTCACCCACACTGATGGGAAGGAAGTGTGTTCAGAAGAGCGCTGACCATCAGGAAAGGTTGAGGACTCAAGGTACTAGAATTTTTAATAAAGTCAAAGAGAAGGCAAGCTGGTCATGAGGGACTGTGGATGCTGGAAGAATCAGCATAGGACCCAGCAATTCCACTCCTAGATACCTAACCAGGAGGAATGAAAGCATGGCCACACAAAGACCTGTATGCGCCCTAGCCGGTTTGCTCAGTGGATAGAGTGTCGGCCTGTGGACTGAAGGGTCCTGAGTTTGATTCCAGTCAAGGGCACATGCCCAGGTTGTGGGTTCAATCCCCAGTAGAGGGTGTGCAGGAGGCAGCTGATCAATGATCCTCTCTCACCATTGATGTTTCTATCTCTCTCTCCCTCTCCCTTCCTCTCTGAAAGCAATAATAATAATAAAAAAAAAACACATAAAAAGACCTGTATGGAAAGTTCACAGGGGCATCATGCATAATAGCCAAAAAGTGGAAAGAACCCGAATATCCACTGAGGAATGCGGTCTCTCCACATAATGGAATGCCATTCAGCAATACAAAGGAACAAAGCACTGACACATGCTGTACAACATGGATGAACCTCCAAAACACTGTGCTAAGCGGAAGAAGCCAGTCACAGAGGAGCCACCTTGTCTGATTCCAGTTAATCAAACATCCAGCACAGGGAGGTCTACGGGAAGTAGAGTCGTGAGCACCTGGGCTCGGGGTCGGACTGAGGAGTGACTGTGAACAGGCAAGAAGCTCCTTCTGTGGTGATGGGAATGTCCTAAAATCAGACTGTGGTGATGGCTGTACAACTCTGTAATATACCAAAAATCACTGAACTGTACACTTAAAATATACCCCTGGCTAAAGAAGGGGTGTCTGACTTTAAATTTCTAATGGGAAGCAGTTCCAAGTCACAGCAGGGTCAGGGCTGAGACTCCAGGGTGTTTCTGGGACACGTGGACAGGCCTGGAGCCGCCTCGCCCACCTGCTGTGACTGTTCATCGTGGGACACGGGCTGTCACTACCGGAAGGCTGAGGCTCTGTGAGGCTGAGGCACAACCATGCTCACTAGGAGGCTACAATAGCTCTTTTAAATCATCTTCCTCCATCAGATTCGCAGTGAGCTTTCTAACTCTATCTTAGTCACCAAACCTGCCCTAGGTGTTAGCTGAAAAATGTCATCTGCCTTTGGGGTGTCATCGTGACCTGCTGCGCGGTCAGCACCTGAGGCTGAACTTCTGCAAGGCCCCGAGCACATTCTCCCGGGTGACGACGTCCTTGTCTTCCTCCTTCAGCCTCTCCTCCAGCATCTGCAGCACCTTCGTGCTCTGGGCAAGGTAGAGGCGACCTAGTAACACAATCAGAGATGAACACGTAAAAGAGGGAAGACTGCTCTTGTGTTAAGTTCATGCTCCAAAACCACTTTCTATGAAACCTTTGTATTTAGCACATGCAGAGCTTGTATAATTTTAGATTCTAAAAAACTTATCTATAAAAATAAAAGCGTATATGCTAATTAGACCAGATGTCCTTCCGTACAACCTTCCGGATGAAGCTGTGGCTGTGAGGGAAGCCTGAGTTCTGGGTGCCAGAGGGAAGCTGGTGCCGGCAGCCAGGGGAAGGAAGGCCTACTCTTGCACAAATTTTGTGCATCAGGCCTCTAGTTAACACATCTTTCTTCTGAAAAATTGGTTTTAGTCAATCAACTATCTAGTAATAGAAAACCCCTTCTTGTAATCTAAACCTAATTTCCAACTATGTCCTTGTGGGGAGCGTTGTCCTTTATTCACCTGAAATCTTGAACCCGAATGTCAGAATGAGGAGAACAGGGAAGGAAACCTGTGGGTCATAAACCCATTAGCAATGCTTCCTGGCCACACCCCTTGCTCCTTCTGGACGTGCCCAGAGAGGTTGGGGATCAGACCTGGAACCCTAGAGTAGGGCTTGAATTATCACTAGCCTGTTGTGGGCTTGTGGCTTGATACAAATGATAATTTTGGAAATAAGTTTCAACAGTATTATATAAGTGGTCCCTGCACATACCCTGGCTTATGATAACTGTTTGCTAAACAGATGAAAACTGTACAAATAAGTGAAGGGACAAGTTTTTGGAGCATCATATAGTCATCATTTGAAACTCTCTTTATTCACTCTAATAAGAGCTCAAATTAAACCTGGAAGACAACGACACTTTGTAAAATCATTTGAATTCAGTCACACTGGCATGTTATCTTTGGAGCTTTTAAATCTTCTATTCTTTTGCAGGAAATGATGCAATTATTGGGATCAGCTTTAATTGTGTCACCAGCCTTAATGTACTGACATAGAAAATTATAGAAAATGTATTATCTATTCTATATCTGAAGGCAATCCAAAAAGTACAGTTATAAAACAGAAGGCTTATAAAATAAAGCCAGAACGTTTACAAAAGAAACTCCAAAAATCAAAATTTTCTCTGGCATAAACTATAGCAATATGACAACATCTAATTTTCACAAAAAACCTTCGATGTATTAAACAGGCATAAATTGAGGAAACATACATCATCTCTAAAAAACTTGGAGAAGAACGTCCATTTTTAAAGGGAAAAAAATGCATGAATAAGGCCTAGCTCTTCTCTTCGAAGAAAAGCTGGCATCTCACCTTCTGCCAGGGACGCGATGGCGTTGATGAGCCTGGCCATGTACTGGCGCACCACGTGGCTCCTCCCGTGCAGCAGCTGCAGCACGCTGCTCTGCGGGGAGCAGAGGGGCAAGGACGGGGAGTCAAAGACCGGGAGAGACCAGCGTGGCTCCTCCGGGGGCGCTGTTGTCCTCCTCTGCACAAACTTATTACAAGTGAGATAAATAGACTAAAGCCAAACAGTTCGTCAGGAAATCTTTTTTTTAAAAAATATATTCCATTGATTTTTTACAGAGAGGAAGGGAGAGAGATAGAGAGTCAGAAACATCGATGAGAGAGAAACATCGATCAGCTGCCTCCTGCACATCTCCCACTGGGGATATGCCCGCAACCCAGGTACATGCCCTTGACAGGAATCGAACCTGGGACCTTTCAAGTCCGCAGGCCGACGCTCTATCCACTGAGCCAAACCGGTTTCGGCTCGTCAGGAAATCTTGATGGCCAACTGATTTGTCCTGAGATTTGATGAATATCAGTCATTCAAACTTTTAAATTAAAAGAATTATATGATGGGTACTCGACTTATCAGGGTGATCACTTCCAAAGTTATATAAATGTCTAATCACTATGTTATACACCTGAAACTAATATAATACCATATGTCAACTGTAATTGAAAAATGAAAAACTTATTTTAAAAAAAAGAATTACTTATACAAAGCATTAGAACAGTTACTAACACAAAGGCAGCAATACGGGATGGCTGATGTTTTTCCAGGTTAGGATGACAGATCCAACACACACTTCTATTTTGCTCCCTGAAGCCACAGTATAATTATAGTAAATGGATTTTAAATAATGACACTAATTCTCAGGATCAGAGAGAACAGCAAAAGAAATTATAACAACACAATTTTGAAAGTGGGAATACAGATGGAAACAGACTTAGTAGACTCAAGAATGCTATGTGGGCAATGAGGAGGTAACCTCACTTACATCACTTAATCCTCAAAGGCTCAAGACGTGAGAAAAATCAGAATGAATGAATGAAAGCTGTTAAAGAAGCAGCTCATGCTGCTCCTCCACTACTGTCCTCCTCTCACCAGAGGTCGGGGTGCTCTCTTGTTATGGTAACAAGGGTCTCTGGATGGGGGACACCAGGCCCAGGTGAGCAGGGCTTCTATGCCAAAATGGAGGGTCTAAAGAGCCAACCCCAGTCCTCTCCCCCTACCTGGCTCCCAGAACCCTGGCAACCAGAACTTACCCTTTAGGAGGGAGATCAGAAAACTCTTCTTGGAGGAAAATGCCTGGCCCAAAGGAAAGAACTACAGGTCCTGAAATCAGCGGCCCCTGACACATGGCCCACCTGGCTCACCCCCAGTGGGGGTCTCCGTCTACAGTGCCTACCTTCATACTCAGAATATCCAATAGGCTTTTCAGTCCTCCACTCTAAACATTAGGAGATAACCAAGGTCTACCAGAAGTCCAAGTTTCTAACATGGAAAATAGGACCAAGATAAACAGGGGGAGGGGGTTAGTGGAACAAACTTGGAAGAAATGAGACTAGGCAGGGATAAAAAAACTAAAAATAAACAAAAAGATGTCGCTAATAATACTTAGAGATATCAGAAGCCAATTGTATCTACGAAACAACAGAATGCTATAAAAAAGAAAATGAAAAACCAACAAAATGGTTGGAAAATAAAGATGAAAAAATCTCCCAGAAAGTGGAGTTTAAAAAAAAAAAGGAAAATATGAGAGAGAAGATAAGAAAATTAGAGAACCAGTTCAAGAGGAGGTCCGACATGCAGAGAGACAGAGAAAACAAAGGGACTCACCTACAAAGTAAGTCAGGAAAGTTCCCAGAACTGAAGCGGTCAGACTGAAAGGGCTCGCCGAGCTCCCCAGTGAACCAAAGTACACCGCGTGAAAGGTATGGAACGGGGGGGGGGGGGGGGGGGGGGGGGGGGGCGGTGCAGAGGTCTGCAACTGGTTCATCTCACTCCAGGTCCGACATTTTCCCACTAGAACAAGCTGGTCCAGAGCTATATACAAATACGGTGCTGGACACATTTTAAGGCAGGCCAGGTGAAAAAAACACTAAATTTGCACGCTGGCCGGTGGCTCCGTTAGTTGGAGCGTTATCCCATACACCAAAAAGCTGTGAGTTTGATTCCTGGTCAGGGCACATACCTAGGTAGCAGGTTCGACCCCTGGTTGGGGCACGTACAAAAGGCAACCGATCCATGTTTCTCTCTCACATTATGTTTCTCTCTCTTCCTCACCCTTCCTCTCTCTGAAAAAAAATCAATAAAAACATATCCTCCAAAATAAAAAAAGAAAGAAGAAACACTGAATTTGCTTACCTACCTTGCGGGTCATAAGTCATGCTGAGTTTTCAGGGCTCAAGATAAACTAGGTTGAGGGAAAGACTTGGGAATTTGAGAAAAGGAAAAATGGCAGAGCAGAGCTCCAGAGTTGAACCCAGCAGTTCTAACTTGTTAGGACTCTATCGGACGTGAAGAGAGGGCCGGCACCCGGGGTGAAGAGCAGAGCTACGGAGCTGAGGCTGACATACAGTCACCAGGTTGAAAACATGCGGAAATGGACGTCTCCCCGGCTGCTAGGACCAATCCCGAGGAACGAAGGCCCTGCTGGGCCCCGGCCCTTCGCTCACCCACCTGGCTGTGGCCCTGGCAGTCCAAGAGGTCATTGCTGATGTAGGCCTGCAGCACGGTCTCCCTCTGCTCCCCGGGATGGGATGTGGTCAAGCGCTGGAACAAAGACAAGCAAAAGTAACACATCTGACCGTGGAGGAATGTCCGCAGAGTGGGCATGTTTTAAACAGCAGCCCCAGTAACTAAACATTTAACTAAACAGAATAAGTATCATCCTGCAGAGTGAGGTGAGCAGCCAACCTATCCACTGATAAGAACTGATGATGTACTTTTAAGCGGATGATATGGGGGGTGTAGGAGTTAACCTACACATAGGAAATTTTCAGGGAAGTGGAAATGCCTGGATTGTGCATGCACAGATAAGGGAGAGCTCACCAACGCCTGGAGAGGGTTTTTTTTGCTTTTTTGCAGGAAGGGGCTCAAGAGTTGGCCTCTGAAGGGTGAGCAGACTGTCAGCCAGCACAGGGGATGTGAGTGTGGTGGGGAGAGTGTGGGCCAGCTCAGGACAGTGGGGAAGTATAGGGGCAGGCACAGGGGAAGTTGTAGAGGGCTCAGAATGAACACCATGCCAACAAAATAGGTTTTATCCTATTGGGATTGACTCAGCAATACTCGGTGTGTGTGTGTGTGTGTAGGGGTGGCTGGGTAGAATTTTGTAGAGTCTGAAAAGCCTGTCAGTGGTTCTCAACCTTCTGGCCCTTTAAATACAGTTCCTCATGTTGTGACCCAACCATAAAATTATTTTCGTTGCTACTTCATAACTGTAATGTTGCTACTGTTATGAATCGTAAATATCTGATATGCAGGATGGTCTTAGGCGACCCCTGTGAAAGGGTCGTTCGACCACCAAAGGGGTCGCGACCCACAGGTTGAGAACCGCTGGCCTAAGTTGTGCTGTTTTAAGTTAGAATTTCCTTACTGCCTGTAGGGCTAGAAGGAAAATGGAGCATGGGAGCGTGGGAAATGGTGTGTGCTTGTGCACACAGGCGTGGGCCAGCATGAGTTAGGATATAAGAAAACCACATGACTGCCGTGAGCAAACGCCCTTACTTTTGCAGGAAAATCTTGCTAGGTGAAGATCCCTGAGACGGCAGGCCCTGCTCTGGCTGAGGACAAGCTGCCGTGTAAAGGACAAGGCTTGGGGGCAGAGGTCAGGAAGAGCCGCGGAGCCCCCAGAACTGAAAGGCGGAGGCTGGTGTGGCTGACAGACTGGACCACCATAGCCAAGGAGGGAGGCCCTACCGGGGGAGAGGGCTAGATTAAAGGAGGGGATGCCAGGCGTGTCCCTTCTGCCCAGTTCACTAAGGTCAGGCCTGGGGCACTGGGTGGGGGTGAGGGGCACGGGGCTGGAGTGGAGATGCTGGAGGGGGGCACAGACAAAACTGTAAGACAAGACACCTGTTTATTTTTTCTGGAACATCCTGTCTCACCAAGAGGCTCAGGAGCACCGACTGATCGGAAGAGCCAAAGACAAGATGAGTTTGCTCGCCTGAGTGGAGAGGCAAACATCGGGGCAGGGATGGCCACCAGAGAGGACTCACGCCGCCACACCCATCTGGTCAGCTGCTGCAACACCCGAGCAGACATCGCGACTGACCCAGGGCTCTTCCTGCTGCTTTGGGGCCTCCTCGGAGCACTCCAGACCTTGTCCCAGGAAGCACGCAGGCCTCGGACATCCAAGAGAGGAGACCTTTCTCTATCCAGATGGGGAAATTGCTCAAAGGCACACTGATGCCATGGCACCCTGAAACTCGGGGGTCCGTGAAGGAGTCTGACATTATTCCAGGTGAGTTAGAATGCATCGTGCAGTTCAGGAGCTAACCAGTGTTGGCTTAGACCTACAGTTCTCAAAGTGCAGTCTGGGGAACCCAGGGTTCCGAAGCCCTTCTGGGGAGTCTACATGGTCACCATTGTTTCCATAATACTGCTAAGCGTAATGCTGTGACTTGTTTTCACTCAGTCTCTCAGAGGCTATGTGAAGTGTGACTATGACAAATCGAACACAGGAGCATATATGAGAATCCATGTCCACGAAGCCAGACATAAAAGAAATCCGCAAGAATATAAAACAATGCTGCTCTTCTAATTTTTTTTTTTGCTTTGGAAGATATATTTTTTAAAATAGGTTGCTATATTCTGGGTTTATCATTGTTCATCTTAAATAAATTGATAAATATACATTTTATAATTTCTCAGTTTTAATTTCTAACACTGTAAATATTGGTAGATAAAATTCACATAAACTAAAGCTCCTTGGGGTCCTGAGTAATTTCTGAGAGAGTAAAGGGGTCTGAGAGCAAAGAGCTTGAGGACCCCTGCCTTACCCATGATCGGCGTGAAGAGAGGGGAGAGAAGAAGCAAGTTAGACTCTATTTTCCCTTACAGCATGGTAGTAGTTCTCACGCTGATGCCTGCTTGGGTGGCCGTGGACACAGGGGCTTTGTGGACATGCACTGTGCTAAACAGGCGGTGCTCGGACACGCCGACCCACCAGCTGTCAGTGCGACTCGACCAGAAAGGGCCGGGTGACAGGAAGTCCCCTGGGCCTAGACACTGCTTGTGTGAGACGGCCTCGGGAAGGCAATGGCCACAGCGAGGCCAATGTAGGAGTTTTAAAGAGAGGCCAGGCTACCTTCAGAAGCTGTTTCACTTTAGCTCGGTGTCAGCAGACAGCAGGAAGGAAGGTCTTTAGTGGATGGGTTAAAAGATGCGAGCAAGGTAGCAGCCCGGCAAACCAGCACAGTCTTTTTCTCAGCTTCGCGGGAGAGGTACGTACCCAGCGCAGAGCCTGCAGCAAGAAAGCTTTCAAGCGGTCGCTCCCCACAATCAAATCCCTCTTCAGTTTCTCATAATCCAAGGAGGGCAGCAGTGGGACATCCTTCAGTTTCCTACTCGGCAGCACAAGTTCAAAGAGAAAGAAGAGGGCAAAGGGGATGTTCGACACACAAGCCTGGTGCGGCCGAGCGTCAGACCCCCCCCCCCCCCCCACCCCCCGCCGCCCCGCCCCGGGCCCGGTGACAACGCAATAGATCTGGACAGAAACGCTCAGGCTCACACAAAGCTATCCTGTGGCCCCTCCTCACAGGACATAAAATTTAGACATTGTGACACTCTGTTGACTGCCTTGTGACAGTAAATTAAATAGATTTCTAGAGAATATGACAGAAACTATTCAACAAGCTTTTCCATTTGAGGTTACCTCACCAAAATAAATACAATTAACACTAAATGACACTCTGGCTTAACACTGTTACTTATAATTACAGGTATTTCCTTTACCCTCCACATGTTCAGATGAGCATTTATTAAAGTTACTTTGAATTCCAGTTTTACCCACAGCTGTTCCACAATAACAATTTCTAAGAGCAATTACTCACATGGGTGCCAAGGAGGCTCTTAACATGGTTGAAGCCTGGGAGGGCGAGGGAACAGAAAAGAACAGACCGTGTTACACACTGATGGCCGAGCACTGACCCTAAATTACTGTAACAGCACAAGATCTACAGATCTGCAAAGTTCCTGGCCTACCAGGATTCTCCAACCAAAATCATGTATGTTTTAAAAATTCGCCCAAGGCGAAGTTAATCAATACACTACTAATGCATTTCCCAAGCCACCTACCCCTTGGTTTGGGGCTGCTCCACTCCCAGGAACAATCTATAAAAATACCAGGTGGGTTCTCCCGACCAAACTCCCTGGGGCACGGAAGCTGCCAGGTGCAAGACAGCAGAGAGCACGAAGCCATCAGAGTCATTTCATTACCTTGTTTTCTTCTTTATTAAAATGTTATCTTTGAATATAAAAAGAACACATTGCACTTCATACCAAGTCAAACACTATAGAAGTGTTTATAGAAATATAGAGGAGTTTGTAGAAAAAAATAAATAATCCCCTCCCCTCCCCCTCCCCTGTAATCCAAATCATCGCCCACTTTGTGGGCATTCACACTGCGTGTCCCCTCTCCCTTTTGGCCACTACAGGCAATGCTATACTAAACATACACTAAAATAGAAATAAATAACCCAGTGCTGTGGGTGGCACTTGTATGAACCAACTCAAACCAAGTGTAAAAGGTATTTTGAGAGAATGGAACACAGACTGCACTGGTATTACATAATGCTAGGGAATGGTGCTTATTGTATCAGACATTGTGGTTATACTCTGGCTTGTTTTTTAAAGCCCTTCTCTGTTGGAGAAAGACTGAATTCTCTGCAGGTGAAATGATATGTTAGCAATAGGTTTTAAAGAACTCCAGGAAAAAAATGAAGCAGAGGCTCAGAGAGGAAATCTCAGCCTGATGTCAGATGGTCGCCATCCACGCTTCTCATGTTGACCTATGACAATCACTCCTGTGTCTTTCTCTTTCCGTGGACACTGGTCCTACAGTGGCGGTTCAGCACCCTCTTGTCCCCAGCACCTGGAACAGTGCTTGGATAAACAGGCACTCAACCGACATGTGCTGGATGAGTGAATGAACAGAGACTGACTTCCGCAGTGGGCACTCCAGAAACCTGGACTGGTTTCTCCACTGGTTTATCTGTTGCTTTGCCGCAGGATTTACAAAGCAGGCAGGTTCCCACCTGGGCGTCACCACACCCTGCTTTTAAATGGTTCATAATTATATATGTTTTTTATCTTTTTAACCCTTGATTTTTTTATTTTATTTTTTAATTAAAAGACAGCAGGGGAACAGCAAAGGCAGGTCACCTGGCAAGTGCCTCAAGGGGAATGTTTACTTAGGGGAGGCTAAAGATCACGGTGGGGGGACACATGAGGAAACGTGCCTTAGCCATGGGGCTGGGACTGAAGAGCAACGGAAGGAAGCGGAGAACCAGAGGAACATCCCACCCCGTGGGGAAGGGAGGTTGCTACGCCAACACTGTACTGAGAAGGGGGACTCGCACAACACGAAATGCAGGGTTGCTCATGCAGGAGGGGCGGCTGGCACAGAAAACTGCGAGTGAGATTTGGAAATGGAGCTAAGTAGGTGGAGAGTGGGTGAGCGTCCAAATGTGCTCCCAAGCTCCACAGAAGCTTCTCGGGCAGGAGCCTCTCGGGCTCATCGAGGGCACCTGCTTCAGGGACCTGCGGGCAAGGTGCAAACAGGGGGCTAATAAGAGAAAGACAGAGCAAGATGCAGCAACACCCGCATGCGGGAAGTGCCGGGGCTGGGGTGCTGGAGCTCATGCAGTTTCTGGACCTGAGCTGAGCCAGGGGGCCAGATGGGCATCGGATGAGGGAAGGCCGTGGACTCCATGCTGAGCATTTTGGAAGTGCCTCGAATGATTCTCAGGGGTTCCCGGAGTATCATTCACAGGACAGGAAACACAGTGGGGAGAGACCACTTGTTTGAAGAAAAAGATGAGCTCGGATTTAGACGGAGACAATGTGACATGCCTGTCAATAACGGGGAGAAGGCACAGAGAGTCTGGGCTTGGGGATCGGGGAAAGGGCTGAGCTAATGGCAGTCACTCTCTGCCAATTACATCCTACCACCTGGTTGAGATCAAAGGTGTTCAAGTCCTCAGGTCACCAAGGTCAGTACAGGTATGAGACAGCGTAGTGTATGAGGAGTAGCAGGGAGAGGGAGCCAGGTGTGCAACCCCTCGTTGACATACAGAGCTCGGGCCCAGAAACACTGCCTCGAAATGCAGTGGTGATGTGGGCAGCGGGCAGGCACCTGGCTAAGACTTAGGAAAGCCACATAAGGGAGAACCCAAGGACTGAAGATGCTGGCCTTCAAGCCAAAGTCCTGGTCCCCACAACGGAAGCTTCAGGAAGAATCCTGAACAACTGCACCAGGCTGTCCTGGAAGAGGCCGCCCCCACCTCCTCCAGCCCCTGCTGGGATTTATTGCTAACAAAGGTGGCTGATCGCGGAAGTAGATGCCTTCTAAGATTCACATGCACTGGGCCTTTAATGTATTTAATGCTATCACACCTGGAAGTATCTTAACTTGTATTTCCAGTGAGGTCTACCTGCAGTTGTTGAAGAAAGGAAGAGTTAATTCCCAAATGGGCCCTTTTCCCCGGATGCATTAAAATGGAAACTCCCCCACCCAATGAATCCACAAACCCAGAAGTGCCATTCGGTGGGATTCACCCAGGGGGCTACACTCAGATTTTCACCTTCAGACTGTTTCTGCATTCGAGCTTGCCAAGTGCAAATAAGGGGCTAATAAGGAAGGACAGAGCAAGATGCTCTCATATGCTTTTGCAGCATACAAAGGTGCACGTTGCATCACTAGGAACAGCAAACAATTAAAAAGCTGCCTAAACGTCTGCTAGAATAATGGTTAAATGTGCTATACTGTTCCCAGTTAAAACTCTAGGAGGCAAGGGAAATGCAAACACGCTAAGAGGAAATGGAAGATTTAAAAGGCACTGGTAAGAGACAGCTGCAGAACGCTATGTGCAATAAAACCTTAATTATATGTAATTTCTAAAGGTCTGGAAGGATGCAGATGAAACGCGGTCAACAGGGTTACTGAGGGAGGAGGGTGAGATGGGGTGAGTGTGAGGAAGGGAAGCGGTTTGTGTGTTGCTCCATTTACTACTACATTGTTATACTTTCCAGCGGACACATATTCAGGTATTACTTGTGTCATCTCAGAAAACTGAGGCTGTGTCCTGAGGAAGAAGTTTCCCTCTTAGTCCTGTCACTGGCCGATCTCAGATGATTGGTAAGGATGACCAAATGACCAGCCTGAGGTCAGGCCAGTGACAGGCAGTCAGTCACACTGGGAGAGGCCTGGTCTCAAAAAAATCACCCCGTCCTTATCAGTCCTTCTGGGGGCACCAGGAGCTGCCTGCCAGCTCGGATACCGCGAGCGGACTTCTGAACACAGCTGGGCATGAACTAGGCGGAATGGAAACATTTCTTCCCACTCGTGCATTTCCGCCATAGGGCCTCCACCGGTGTGACCCTCACCCTGCCTGCCCGACCCCCTCATTCTGGGCAATGAGGCCGCTCAGAGAGCACAAGGCAGCTCTGCTCCCGGTGGTGGTGGTGGTAGTAAGAGGCTTGACCAGAGCTGTGTATGACTAGGTGGGTACGTTTCTTTAAATCCAGGGTTCAAAAGTAGGGAACCACCAGTTTCCTGGATTTACCTAAATTCCATAGATAAACTTCTGAAGAACTTTATAAGGCATGTCCATGTGCTGGAGATGTATGTGTCTCTTAAGATAAGCAATCAGTGGGCTAAGAATGCAGGACTGACTTCTCAAATTGTGCTTTTTAAAACTCTCAACTTTTCTTTCTTCTTTGGAACACACTGGGTAGTCCCTAGTTATTTTTTTCAATTTGCAAATCCTAAGACCCTTGAATAAAACGTCATAATTTTTAATTAAAAAAAAAAAAGGAACCCTGGCCGGTTTGGCTCAGTGGATAGAGTGTCAGCCTGAGGACTGAAGGGTCCCAGGTTCGATTCCAGTCAAAGGCACATGCCTGGGTTGTGGGCTCCATCCCCAGTGGGGGTGTGCAGGAGGCAGCCAATCGATGATTCTCACATCACTGATGCTTCTATCTCTCTCTCCGTCTCCTTTCCTCTCTGAGATCAATAAAAATATATTTTTTAAAAGGGAAACCCACCTGCCTACCAATAAAATCCATATTACCCAATATAAGTTTTATAAGTATTGACAAAGATATTTTTGGCTACTTTCTCTTGATTCTTTTGTCCTATTTTTCAATTGGTGCAGAACTCAGTGGGAAAGGTACTATTTTCTGAGCCCTTTTGAATTTTCAGCAGTGAACGAGGTTGCAGAAGGCCAGGTTTTTAACAGCCAGATTCAGAAGCCGGTACCAAATGCACTGAACTTGATAGAGCCTAGCAGTTTTCTGATGGGCCCCGCCAAGCCCCTTTTCAGAGCGCACTGAAGCGGAACACTCAAGGTTGCCCCGCACCCAAGGAGATGCTGACCAAGACTTGGTATAAAAGAGGCTGGTCTGTGCCCGCCTACTGGTCTTGAAATTGATGAAACTATTTGGACCTAGAGTAGAATTTATTCCCTTAAAATAAAAAGCAACCTTCTCCTTCATCCTAAATCCTGTCGGTTCAGTCACTAGACATCCCATCTAAACTGCTCCCTGAGTTTCTCTTCACACACTGTAAATCTGATGTGTGACAACTTCAGCCACGCCCAATCAACTACTATGTCCTCTGATACTTTTACCATGACTCATATCTACCTTTTATCTTGCAGATAAATTACTAGGAACAATAAAAGATTGTTTGCGGCTTTTATTGCCTGTTCCTAAGTGAGTGGCTCAGTAAAACGAAAACGGCTATGAGCCTCGGTAAACAGAGCTCTTCCTCTCCCCCCGGGCTTCTCAGGCTGTGGCTCTGTGCCTTCGTGGCTCCTAACAGGAAGGAGGGCAGGACTAGGTCTGGACACATGGTGTTAGCTTCTAACGGGAAAAAGTGACAGCTATGCTGTGCCCCTCTCCCTTTAAACTGCTCCTTATTAACATGACAGCAGTTTTAAACAAGCTGGTGTATCACGCACTCCACCACCAGAAAATGGAAATATGGCATTCCTGCATATGCGATAGGATGGGATTCTATACCACAAACCTGGAATTAATGAATAAATGGAAGGCAGGGAAGAAAGGAGTGATCCTATCGGACACAGACCTGCTAGGCTCATGACTGCTAAGCAGCCATCCCTCTTGGTAAACACACTGGTCCACACTGACTTCACCGTACGTGGGCACTGAAGTCCACCCGGCCAGGCCTCAGGGATGTGGCTTGAAGCCCCTCGTCCTGGAGGGCCCCTTTCCTGAAAACTGGAGAGATCTGTGTGCTTTACTGGCATTTAAAAACTGGCCACTCTCTAAGCCTAGTGCATGCACAAATCCCATGGCCACATCCTGAAGCACAGATCTGCAGCTCTGAACACCACGTGTCCATGTGAAGCACAGATCTGCAGCTCTGAACACCACGTGTCCATGTGAGGCACAGATCTGCAGCTCCGAACACCACGTGTCCATGTGAAGCACAGATCTGCAGCTCTGAACACCACGTGTCCATGTGAGGCACAGATCTGCAGCTCCGAACACCACGTGTCCATGTGAGGCACAGATCTGCAGCTCTGAACACCACGTGTCCATGTGAGGCACAGATCTGCAGCTCTGAACACCACGTGTCCATGTGAGGCACAGATCTGCAGCTCTGAACACCACGTGTCCATGTGAGGCACAGATCTGCAGCTCTGAACACCACGTGTCCAGGTGAGGCACAGATCTGCAGCTCTGAACACCATGTGTCCATGTGAGGCACAGATCTGCAGCTCTGAACACCACGTGTCCATGTGAGGCACAGATCTGCAGCTCTGAACACCATTTGTCCATGTGAGGCACAGATCTGCAGCTCTGAACACCATGTGTCCATGTGAGGCGCCATTTCCCCACGCACCCGGGGGAATATGGTCAAGGACACTGCTCTTCACCACGTTACCACATCCTTTCTATGAAGATCCACAAAAGGAATGACCCTCAGGTCTCGGCACCAGAATAGCCATTTGTTCGACCTCCTGTCTTCTCTTTAAAATGTCTTTAAATTACAATGGTAATACACCTACTTGGAAGTTCACAGTCTACAGGGCACCTAGGAACTTCAGTGATGCTGAAATGGTCTATTTGGGAACTTGTGGCGGCATTCACGTTACTGTTGTGCTTTCTAGGCTGCTTAGATGCAGCAAACAGTGGATAATAAATATTAAACTATTTTCTCTTCATTGTAAGTAAATCACGTAACTGCTCACATGTCCCTTTTTGCACAAGCCCTGAGAGCCAAATATGCCTCTCTCCAGGTGTACAGCAACTTATGACATGTATTTTTGTACTAGCGTAGCCCTGGCTTACTTTTATTATTCCTACCTTTATTTTCCTTTACCCACAATTTATTTCCCCCCAGCATTATTGAGATACCGACATATAACACTGTAAGTTTCAGGTGTACAGTGTGATGATCTGATACATGTCTACATTGTGAAATGATTACCACCATACGGTTAGTTAACACGTCCATCACCTCACACAGGTACCTTTTATTTCTTGTGGTGAGAACATTTAAGATCTATTCTCTTAGCAACTTTCAAGTATATAATACAGTACTGCTAACCATAGTCACCATGCTGTACGTTAGAGCCCCAGGACTTACACATCTTAAAAACAGAGGTTTTACCCTTTGACCAACAGCTCCCATTTTCCCCACCACTCAGCCCAGGAAACCACCAGTCTACTTTCTGTTCCTATGAGTTTTAACCACAACTTCTTTACTTTCATTTTCTGTTTTTTCATGTCTCATATTTGTGTTTTTTAATGTTATAATAGCTGCTTCAAACCTACTTGAGAATGAGGTAGGGAATATTTTATTATTATTATTATTATTATTATTTTAAATCATTTTTCATTTTTCAATTATAGTTGACACTACAATATTAGTTTCAGGTATACACTCCAGTAATTATATAACTTACTAAGTGATTATCCCAATGAATCTTGTACCCATCTGACACCATACATAGATATTAGATTATTATTTTTTTGTTGAAAGTATTACATATGTCCTCCTTTTTCATCTTTGTTTTTTTAAATTTATTTTTGTTTTTTTTTAATCTTTATTGTTTTCTTTAAAATATATTTTTATTGATTTCAGAGAGGAAGGGAGAGGGAGAGAGAGATAGAAGCAACGATGAGCAAGAATCATTGATCAGCTGCCTCCTGCACGCCCCCTACTGGGGATTGAGCCCACAACCCAGGCATGTGCCCTTGACCAGAATCGAACCCAGGACCTTTCAGTCTGCAGGCCAATGCTCTATCCACTGAGCCAAACCAGCTAGGACTAAATCTTTATTGTTGAAAGTATTACATATGTCCCCCTTTTTTCCCCCCCATTGATACCTTCCAGCCCGCCCCTACCCCCCACCCCAGGCCTTCACCACCCTATTGTCTGTGTCCACGGGTTATGCATATATGCATACAAGTTCTTTGGTTGATTAGTTCCCGCCCACCCACCATCCCCCACCTTCTCTCCGAGAATAATTTATTATCATTATTATTATTTTTGTTGTTATTAATCCTCACCCGGGATATTTTTTCCATTGCTTTTTAGATAGTGGAAGGGAAGGATAGAGGGAGAGAAACATCAATGTGAGAGAGAGGCATCAATTGGTTTCCTCCCGCATGCAACCAGTCTGGGGCTGGGAATTGAGCCTGTTACCCTTCGTTACGTGGGCCAATGATCTAACCACTGCACCATCAGCCAAGGTGGGAATAAATTTTTTTTTAATACTACAAAAGGCCCTAGTATGTTTATAAAGACCCCAATATTAATGGACAAACCCTTAATTAAAAGTCATGGCTCTGACCCATGGGGGTGCCTCAGGATCCCCTGGCACCTCCTTCCTAATCCAATGCACCTGGCTGTACCCACTCAACCCCTGGACAGGCAGCAGGGTGGTGTGAGCTCCAGGGACCTGGGTTCATGAACTTTGAAAACTTCCCCGGGAGATACTAGAGGACTTGCTCCTCTGGTTAGGAGGACACGACAGCACCTATGTAGTACTTGGCGTGGGATGCAAACCCAAATCTAATCACGAGGAAACGTCAAACACAAAAGGAGGAAGGTTCTATTTTCAAAAGGGGAAGGACTATATTCTCCTAAAATCTCAATTTCATTTAAGTCAAAAAAGACCACGGAAACGTTCAGAGTAAAGAAGGCTAAGAGATGTGGCAGCAATGCATGGCCCTGGACTTCCAATCGGGAGAAGGCTATAAAGGACATGCATGGCTCAGCTCACACCACTGAAAAATGCAGATTAGAGAAGAATACTGAATCAATATTAAATTTACTGAAGTTGATAATCACATGTTATACAGGACAGTATCCCTATTAAGAAATATTCTCTGCACTGAAGAATTTAGGAATTAAGGGCCATGGTACATGCAGTTTGTCCTCAAATGGTTCAGAAAACAGATTGGGTAGAGACAGAAAGTAAACAAACCAACGGATAAACTGCCAGCAGCTGAATCTGGGTGAAGGCTACACAAAGTGTCCTTTGTGCAATTTTTGCAACTTTTCTGTGTTGGCAATTATTCCAAGTAAAACGTTAAAAAGAAAACTCCTGCTCTAGGTCATACAACTTGGTACCGCCCTCGGCACCCACAAGCAGCGCCACTGGGCAGAGCAGAACACGCCTCTCCCCAGGGGGCCGTCTTCCAACTGCTCACTCCTTTGAAACAGCTTTCTCCTCCTCCCGGGCATTTACAGACCCCATCATCAGCTGAGGCACAGCCTCTGAATGTTATTTTCTCCTGCTCTTTCAGTTTTTTAGCTATATTATCTTTTTAATATATTTTTTATTGATTTCAGAGAGGAAGGGAGAGGGAGAGATAGAAACATCAATGATGAGAGAGAATCATTGATCAGCTGCCTCCTGCACACCCCACTAAGGATCAAGCCTGCAACCGGGCATATGCCCTTGATCAGGAATCAAACCATGACCTCCTGGTTCATAGGTTGATGCTCAACCACGGAGCCACTGGCATGGCTCCGTGGTTGAGCATCAACGTGGGACTAGTTACAATATTTGGGGGGGGGGGGGTGTGCAGATCAGGGGCACAGAGCCTCACCGTCCCGGGCCTCGTGAAGTCCACGCTGTGGGCCAGGCTCTGCCGCATCTGGTTACTGAAGAGGCGGATGCAGACGCTCTGCAGGTACTCAGGAGTGATCTGCAGAGAGACATGAGTTTGGCTGGTGAAAGGATGAGACCCACCCAGAGACAGCGGAGGCGGCCAGGCAGTCACAGCTGTCTCTTGCGAGCTTCTTTAAGGGCCAGAGAGGAAATTTTGCTTTAACTCAGGAGCTCTCAGTAGTTAAAGCACCACCAATGCCCTTCTAAATGTCAAAAACACTGCACACTTTTCAGTTCTAGGTTTCTAGAGTTTTCTGTGGCTTAGCGACTTTGAATCCACCCCTTACTCCTGATACTGTTTCCTGCTTGTTTAAAAATATACGTTTTTATTGACTTCAGAGAGAGGGAGGGAGAGGGAGAGATAGAAACATCGATGAGACAGAAACATCAATGAGAGAGCAACATCGATTGGCTACCTCCTGCACGCCCCCTACTGGGGGCTGAGCCCACAACCCAGGCATGTGCCCTTAACCAGAATCGAACCCGGGACCCTTCAGACGGCGGGCTTAATTGTGCCAAATTCAGTGGACTCTCTGTCTACTGAGCCAAACCAGCAAGGGCAAGAAAAGTATATTTTTTAAAAGCATATATTTTTAAAAGTATATAAAAATGTTTAATTTCGAGATTAAAAATGACAGCGGAGTAGGAGGATGCTTGCACGGACATGCTCCCAGGAACAAGCTGGAATTACAACTGAAATACAGAAAGGCTTCCTGAATAATCAATGGAAAACTCACAGGAGAGGAGCCTGATATCCAAAGACCAAAGGTGGAGATCACATAGAGATGGATCATTTTTCCTGAATAATTGGTGTTTATTGCATGTAACATTATCATATTTAAAATCTTTTGTCTTGAAATATTAATGTTTACTGCAAGTAACATTATTATATTTAAGATCATTTTTCTTGAAATATTAAAGTTTATTGCATGTAACATTATCATATTTAAAATCATTTTTCTTGAGATATTAATGTTTACTGCATGTAACGTTATTATATTTAAAATCGTTTTTCTTGAAACATTAAGGTTTATTGCATGTAACATTATTATATTTAAAATCGTTTTTCTTGAAATTAAAAAAAAAATGAAGAAAAAAATGTTTAATTTCATGTGCCATCAATGTAATGCATATTTAAATCCTGAGATGCTATTTCTCATGGATCAAATTTACAAAATATAAAAACTTTACTGATAATGCCCAAGGTTGACAAGGGTATAAGAGAATGAACTGTCTCAGTGGAATCAGATTAGCACAGCCTCCTTGAAGGACCTTAGCATAGGTCTCAACTTAGTAAATCAACTTTAAAAAATGCAACGCAGGCTCCTACTCAAGGATATCTCCCACTATACTTATAATTTATAAAAGTAAAAACCTGGAAACAACCTAAATGTCGAATAGCCTAGCTACTAGAGGGGAGGCACTGTGAAGAATATTTTATGACATCATGAACACATGCCTGAATATTAAGGTGGATTAGAAAACTATGTGAACTAGAGTCCATTTCTGTAAAACATGTATATAAATATTGAAAAAAGCATGGACTGTTAAGTAAAACTGGGGCAATCAGAATAAAGCAATGGATTGTATCAGTGCTAACACCCTAGTTGAGACATTGTGTTACACTTTTTTAAAATGTTACAATTGGGGAAACTGGGGAAACTATACAAGGACTCTGTCTACATTATTTCTTAAAATTGCATGTGAACCTCCAATTACATCCATTTAAAAATGTTTTATTTCCACAAAGAGATTTTATTATGCTAGTTTTATTAAGTACAACACTAGAGTTACTCCCATTAAAATCAGGAATAGACAAAGATACCCATGATCACGTTATTTAAAAATGTCCCGAAGTCTTAGCCATAATATGCTAAGAAGGAAACAAGATATATAATGAAAAAAGCAGGAGAGAAACCAAGATGGCGGCATAGGTAAATACTGGAGATTGCTGCCTCGCACAACCACTTCAAAAATACAACTAAAAGACGGAACAGACATCATCCCGAACCACAGGAAGGCTGGCTGAGTGGAAATTCTACAACTAGAAGGAAAGAGAAAAGCACACTGAGACTCAGAGGAGGTGCGGTGCGGAAGTAAAATACAAAGGTGCAAAGGTGCATGCGGAGAAGGCTGGCGGCTGAGGTTACGATTGTCTTTTTCAATCGGGAGGGAGTCTCAGGCTCTGAGCTCCAGTTCCAGGCGAGTCTCTGGGGACCCAGACTCATACGGGAGAAACGGGACTGTCTGGCATCGGTTGGAACTCGAGGGCAGCTTTCTCTCAGAGGCACACGCAGCGATTGCCGGGGCCTCTGAGGACAGGACTGAGAGCAGCCATACTGCTCACTCCGCCCGCCCTGTTGATCCCCTGGGACCCCGCCCCGCCCAAGCCCTGCACAGAGGCTTTTGCATATGAAAGGCCCGGCCCTTTGTAATCTGAAAATTACCTAACAAACTGCAGCTGCCCAAGGCCCCAGGGCAACTTGTATTGCTTTAAAGCTGGCTTCTGCAGGGTAGCCTCAGGCAGAGGCTAGATTAGCACCTCCTTAAATCCAAGAGCCAGTGTACCCAGTGGTCAGAGTGGGACCATCCAATTATAACTCCGCAGATCCATAAGGGACACACTCAGGGGGCAGGCTCAGTGAGCACCAAAGCCCCATTGAAGCAAGTCTTGCCCCATAAGGGTGTCTTCAGCACAGAAGTTCTCCCACCGTAGACACAGCTGATTCTTCACAGCCAATTGGCCTGGAGGTCAAATCCTCCCAGTGTTACCTACAACAATCAAGGCTTAACTACAACAAGACTGTGCACAAAGCCCACAAGGGGTGCACCAAGAGTGTCTACCTCAGGTAATTGGGGAGGCTGAACCACTGGGCCCTAGAGGACACTTAGCACAGAAAACCACTGTATCAACATAGGGAAGCATGGTCTTCCGAATTATGGGGGTGCCAGAAGAAGAGAGAGAGCAAGATATTGAAAACCTATTTGAAGAAATAATGACAGAAAACTTCCCCTACCTGGTGAAAGAAATAGACTTACAAGTCCAGGGTATCATGGGTATCTTTGTCTATTCCTGATTTTAATGGGAGTAACTCTAGTGTTGTACTTAATAAAACTAGCATAATAAAATCTCTTTGTGGAAATAAAACATTTTTAAATGGATGTAATTGGAGGTTCACATGCAATTTTAAGAAATAATGTAGACAGAGTCCTTGTATAGTTTCCCCAGTTTCCCCAATTGTAACATTTTAAAAAAGTGTAACACAATGACAAAGAAACAGGACACAAATGACAGAAATGAAGGAAAGCAAACTACTGAATATAGAGTTCAAAACCACACTTTTAAGGTTTTTCAAGAACTTTCTAGAAAGCGCCGATAAATGTAGTGAGATCCTCAAGAAATCTAGTGAGACCCTCGATGTTGTGATAAAGGACCAACTAGAAATTAAGCATACACTGACTGAAATAAAGATTATTATACAGACTCCCAATAGCAGACCAGAGGATCGCAAGAATCAAGTCAAAGATTTGAAATACGAAGAAGCAAAAAACACCCAACCGGAAAAGCAAAATGAAAAAAGAATCCAAAAACACGAAGATAGTGTAAGGAGCCTCTGGGACAGCTTCAAGCACACCAACATCCGAATTATGGGGGTGCCAGAAGAAGAGAGAGAGCAAGATATTGAAAACCTATTTGAAGAAATAATGACAGAAAACTTCCCCTACCTGGTGAAAGAAATAGACTTACAAGTCCAGGAAGCGCAGAGAACCCCAAACAAAAGGAATCCAAAGAGGACCACACCAAGACACATCATAATTAAAATGCCAAGAGCAAAAGACAAAGAGAGAATCTTAAAAGCAGCAAGAGAAAGAAAGTCAGTTTCCTACAAGGGAATACCCATAGGACTGTCAGCTGATTTCTCAACAGAAACTTTGCAGGCCAGAAGGGAGTGGCAAGAAATATTCAAAGTGATGAATACCAAGAACCTACAACCAAGATTACTTTATCCAGCAAAGCTATCATTCAGAATTGAAGGTCAGATAAAGAGCTTCACAGATAAGGAAAAGCTAAAGGAGTTCATCACCGCCAAACCAGTATTATATGAAATGCTGAAAGGTATCCTTTAAGAGGAAGAAGAAGAAAAAGGTAAAGATACAAATTATGAACAACAAATACACATCTATCAACAAGTGACTCTAAAAATCAAGTGAATAAATAATCTGATCAACAGAATAAGCTGGTGATTATAATAGAATCAGGAGCATAGAAAGGGAATGGACTGACTATTCTTGGGGGGGAAAGGGGTGTGGGGAATGCGGGAAGAGACTGGACAAAAATCGTGCACCTATGGATGAGGACAGTGGGTGGGGAGTGAGGGCGGAGGGTGGGGTGGGAACTAGGAGGAGGGGAGTTATGGGGGGAAAAAAGAGGAACAAATGTAATAATCTGAACAATAAAGAATTAAAAAAAAAAAGCAAAACAAAAATATTATTTGAAGATTATATGACTACTAACCTAGAGCACAGGAGAATCAATCAAAAAATCTATCAGGGAGAACCAAGATGGCGGCATAGGTTAACACTGGAGTTTGCTGCTTTGAACAACTACTTCAAAAGTGAAACCAAAAAACGGAAGGGACATCACCCAGAACCACAGGAACGCTGCCTGAGTGGAAGTCCTACAACTAGGAGGAAAGAGAAACGCATACGGACACTCAGAGGAGGCGCAGTGCTGAAGTCAAATTCTGAGGTGCGGAGTGCGCGAGCGGGCTGGCGGCAGAGGGCGCGGTTGGCGTTTTCAATCGGGAGGGAGTCGCAGACTCTGAGCTCCAGATCCGGGCGAGTCTTTAGGGACCCAGACTCAAACGGGAGAAGCGGGACTGTCTGGCTTCGGTCAGAGCGAGTGCAGCTTTCTCTCTGAGCTTTGCAGCGGGTGCTGGGACTCAGAGAGGCAGAGCCCCTGGGGACAGGACTGAGAGCCGCCATAACTGCTCTCTCCGGCCCACCCTGTTGATCCTGTGCGACCCGCCCCGCCCAAGCCCTGCACACAGGCATTTGCCGGATAACCTCAGGCAAAGGCTAGATTAGCACCTCCCTAGAGGACAGAAGTTCTCTCACTGCTGACACAGCTGATTCTCATAGCCACTTGGCCTGGAGGTCAAACCCTCCCTGGAATTAGCTACAACAATCAAGATTTAACTATAAGACTGTGAACAAAGACCACTAGGGGGTGCACCAAGGAAGCATAACAAAATGCGGAGACAAAGAAACAGGACAAAATTGTCAATGGAAGATATAGAGTTCAGAACCACACTTTTAAGGTCTCTCAAGAACTGTTTAGAAGCCGTTGATAAACTTAATGAGATCTACAAGAAAACTAATAAGACCCTCGATCTTATATTGGGGAACCAACTAGAAATTAAGCATACACGGACTGAAATAACGAATATTATACAGACTCCCGACAGCAGACCAGAGGAGCGCAAGAATCAAGTCAATGATTTGAAATGCGAGGAAGCAAAAAACACCCAACCGGAAAAGCAAAATGAAAAAAGAATCCAAAAATGCGAGGATAGTGTAAGGAGCCTCTGGGACAGCTTCAAGCGTACCAACATCAGAATTATAGGGATGCCAGAAGATGAGAGAGAGCAAGATATTGAAAACCTATTTGAAGAAATAATGACAGAAAACTTCCCCCACCTGGTGAAAGAAATGGACTTACAGATCCAAGAAGCGCGGAGAACCCCAAACAAAAGGAATCCAAAGAGGACCACACCAAGACACATCATAATTAAAATGCCAAGAGCAAAAGATAAAGAGAGAATCTTAAAACAGCAAGAGAAAGAAACTCAGTTACCTACAAGGGAATACCCATACGACTGTCAGCTGATTTCTCAACAGAAACTTTGCAGGCCAGAAGGGAGTGGCAAGAAATATTCAAAGTGATGAATACCAAGAACCTACAACCAAGATTACTTTATCCAGCAAAGCTATCATTCAGAATTGAAGGTCAGATAAAGAGCTTCACAGATAAGGAAAAGCTAAAGGAGTTCATCACCACCAAACCAGGATTATATGAAATGCTGAAAGGTATCCTTTAAGAAGGGGAAGAGGAAGAAAAAGGTAAAGATACAAATTATGAACAACAAATAAGCATCTATCAACAAGTGAATCTAAGAATCAAGTGAATAAATAATCTGATGAACAGAATGAACTGTTGATTATAATAGAATCAGGGACATAGAAAGGGAATGGACTGACTATTCCTGGGGGGGAAAGGGGTGTGGGAGATGCGGGAAGAGACTGGACAAAAATCGTGCACCTATGGATGAGGACAGTGGGTGGGGAGTGAGGGCGGAGGGTGGGGCGGGAACTGGGAGGAGGGGAGTTATGGGGGGGGAAAAAAGAGGAACAAATGTAATAATCTGAACAATAAAGATTTAATAAAAAAAAAAAAAAAAAAAAAAAAATCTATCAGGCCCTAACCGGTTGGCCCAGTGGATAGAGCGTTGGCCTGTGGACTGAAAGGTCCCAGGTTCGATTCCAGTCAAGGGCATGTACCTTGGTTGTGGGCACATCCCCAGTTGGGGGTGTGTAGGAGGCAGCTGATCAATGTTTCTCTCTCATCGATGTTTCTAACTCTCTATCCCTCTCCCTTCCTCTCTGTAAAAAATCAATAAAATATATTAAAAAAATAATCTATCAGATTAACAGAGTTCAGAAAAGGTAACTGGATCCAAAATCAACATGTGAAAATCTATAGATTTCCTATCTACTAGAAGGGCACCACCCTCTTACTTTTATGCCACTACATAATCTTCTTCTGTTGCCATTTTATTCTGTACTGATATTAAGAATCAGGTAGAGAAATAAAGACATGGGCAATAACGTCTCAGGAAAAATGTATAAAATGCTGCAAGCAGCATGATAAACAGCATAGCACGTCAGCTTGGTCTCCTGTGTGCACTTCGGCTTTGTGAAACAGAGAGGCAAGGTCGTGTCTGGGAGTGGCCAGGAATCGCCTATCAACATGGTTCGTGCCCGTACATCTTTATGTTGAAAAGACATGAACCGCTGGGGATCTTCCTTACCATCTTGCCACTGACCGTGGCCTCCAGAGAATCCACCAGCTCTGCCGTGACTCCGATGAGGTTGTGGTAGTCCGCCTGGATCTTATTGTACCGTTTCAGGTATGTCATTGACCTACGCTCAGCTTCTAGCAGCTGCTGGTGGAGCTGCTGCAACATTTCTAGGAAGACATTTATATGTATATTAAAACAAAATAAAATAAAAAATTAAAAACCCCTGCAAAATAAAAAGCATTTCTCTCAAGGGAATACCATGCCTACTATCATATTTTGCTATAACAATGACCTTCACACTATTTGCGTCTAACACTTTGCTTCTATTTCATGCCACATTTAGTAACGAAGTGCTTTGCAATCACTGATTTTTTATTTTTTGTTTCTGGTAGTTCACCTAAATCATCTCTGGTTTTCCTAACAAAATCTTTCTCCTGGACCGAACCCCACACAATTTCTTTTAGTTCTTCTCTTTATATACAAGAAACAAATTCAACATTTAATTCTATAGTCAGCTTGCAAAATGGCTGAACGAAACTTATGTCTTTTTCTCTGTGAGGTTGTTTTCAGGACAATTCATAATCACAGGGCAGTTCTTCATTTTAAGTAAAGGTTAGGGTTGCTTGACTGATGCTGAAGAAAACTAGAATCTAGAAGATTCCAGGTGCTCATTCTGCCACTTTTTTGTTTTGTTTTTTAATCCTCATCTGAGTATATGTTTTTATTGAATTTAGAGAGAGAAGGAGGAGAGGGAGAGAGAAACAACTATGTGAGAGAGAGACATTGACTGACTGCCTCACACATGTACAATGACCAGAAATCGAACTCGCAACCTAGGTATGTGCCCTGACCAGGAATCGAACCCTTGACCTTTTTTAGTGCTCCAACCGACACCAGCCAGGGCTCATTGTGCCAGCTTCTTTTATTTTTCTTAAATATATTTTATTGATTTTTTACAGAGAGGAAGGGAAAGGGATAGAGCAGTGATGGCGAACCTATGACACGCGTGTCAGATGTGACACGTGAACTCATTTTTTTGGTTGATTTTTCTTTGTTAAATGGCATTTAAATATATAAAATAAATATCAAAAATATAAATCTTTGTTTTACTATGGTTGCAAATATCAAAAAATTTCTATATGTGACACGGCACCAGAGTTAAGTTAGGGTTTTTCAAAATGCTGACACACCGAGCTCAAAAGGTTCATCATCGCTGGGATAGAGAGTTAGAAACATCGATGAGAGAGACAGATCGATCAGCTGCCTCCTGCACACTCCCTGCTGGGGATGTGCCCACAACCAAGGTACATGCCCTTGACCAGAATTGAACCTGGACCCTTCAGTCCGCAGGCTGACGCTCTATCCACTGAGCCAAACCGGTTAGGGCTGTGCCAGTTTCCTAAAGCATAAACCACTCACTAAGAGCAGGCAAACTTAGAAGGTTCTAGGCTTCCTTCTTAGAATCACCCCAAGTCCTCCCCATGGGCAGTACTCGCTGGCCATGCCACCCTGGGCACAGTTGGAACAAGCGACTCTTCAGCAGTGTCCACACTCCTATGCCCCACCACACTCCTCCCCTTCCCTGGAATGCTACATTTTGGATAGAAAAAACCTAAGTTAACTCACTATTGTCCCAATCCAGCCTCTGTGTAATATTTAAAGTATTTTAGAACACAGTTCATGTATACAGAGAGAGATTTTAAAATTATAAAGACCAGTGCTCAAATCCCTACTCTATCACTTTCCTGCTGGATAAACTGAGGCAAGATATTTAACTTCTCTGGTCTCATTTCTTAAAGCTATAAAATGGGGGAAATGATAATCAAAGGTTATTGTGAGGATTAAATGAACAAATACATTCGAAGTGCCTAGCACAATGTTAGCCTATAGCACATGATCAATAAATGGTAGCTGTTATTATTATTTCCTTTCATGGGAAGGGCCAAATATTTTCTAAATGTATTTCTATAACTTGAAAAAGTGGCAGAAGGTTACACCCTACAGCAGTGGCCTGCAAACTTGAAATACATCAGAATCATCCAGAAATAAAGATGATCAAGCCCCACCTCCAGAGACTGAGTTTGCGCTCCTGGGTGGGGGCCGAGTATCTATTCAGTCAACAAACTCCCCCACGGCTCTGGCACATGCTAACATTCCAGCCACTGTTATCCGTTCCTCCTAACTTGTGTCTTAAACACCTATGAGGATCACCCATGTTCAAACTGTATTTCAAAAGCTTTTACTTTTTATTGATGTGCAGAAGTAAAATATTTTAACACTTAAAACCCGAAATATCACATAATAATGAACAATTATTATTACTATCATTATTTAGCACCCATCAAATCTGAGTAGCGAAAGGTAACTTTGAAAGGCCACCTAGCACAAACTTACGTTCAGTACTTGAACTTCTGGAGGAATCCCTGGAGGTCTTTTATCAAACTTCTCCTTAAATATTACCAGAGAGAGGGAGTCACTACCTTCTCCCTACGCTGAGTACTAGAAAAGCTTTTTCATACGTACAAAATCCAAAATTACATAAACTGGAACTTCCAACAATGAAAATTTTACAGGATACTGATAATCCCATTTTGTAGTAATAAGTTTAGGGAGTATCTGAACTCTCTCATCACATACCAAGTGGCAGATACTGAATGAAGTGCCGAAACCCATTAGCTGGGTCAAATGACCTCTCAAACATCGATGTCATCAAAGTAGTCCCTCTGTAAAAGGGACGCACTAAGAACTCTTCCCCTCGAAACTCACTGTACAATGAATGTAAATGTAAGAGATTATTTATGGACCTTTTGCCTTAGAAACCCAGAGCTGGAATTTGTGACAACTTCAAAGTGTGGTACACTGATGGAAAAGAGATCTAACTGCCCACAGACCTCAGGAAGAAGGCAGTTGGGCTGACACATTTATGACCATTTCAAATACACCATTTAGCAAAACAGCCTGCTGTCCAGAGCCATCACCTTGCAGACACCTTCGCTGCTGACAAACAGGACCTGAACATTACTGTAAGCTGTTTGAGTCGCAGGACAAAACACCAACTTTACTTCTGAGCATTAAACAGAATTTTGACTCTTTTATCCCATCAAACATTTTATGAGACAAGGAAATCTAAGCCAACGCGCCTTGCAATGTGAGAGCTCAACTTTTAATGGAGATGTCTTATTCCATGTTATTTTAATGAAACTGGCTTAGCCATGCTTGTAAAATTTATTGAGATTCTTCATATTTCAAAAGTCCGAAGAGCTGCATTCTGAGTTTTAAACAAGTGCTGAGCACACTGAACCAACGCCCGTTAAGAGCACAGAAAGTTTTCTGTTGTTCCCCTGAGCAATGAACCAGTAACAAAAGTGGTGGTGGCAGTCTTCCCCACAGTCAGTCGAGCTTCCCCTTGCTAACATTCCTCCTTCGTTTGAGGGCACTGCTTTTTTAATTTTTAAAAGATAGATGAGATTTCATTTTAGAGTTCTCTTAGCTGTTCAAGACAAAATGATAATTTTAAAATATGGAACTGTTGCCCTGGCCGGGTTGCTCAGTGGTTAAAGTGTCGGCCGTGGACCGAAAGGTAGAGGGTTCAATTTCCAGTCAAGGGCACGTACCTCAGTTGCAGGTTCAATCCCCAGCCAATCGGGGCTGAGTGGGAGGCAACCAATTGGTATGTTTCTCTCTCTCTCCGTCTGTCCCCCTCCCTTCCACTTTCTCTAAAAATCAATGGAAAAAAATACTCTCGCTCCCTGGGTGAGGATTAAAAACACACACACAGCCGAAACCGGTTTGGCTCAGTGGATAGAGCGTCGGCCTGCGGACTGAGAGGTCCCAGGTTCGATTCCGGTCAAGGGCATGTACCTGGGTTGCAGGCACATCCCCAGTAGGAGATGTGCAGGAGGCAGCTGATCGATGTTTCTCTCTCATCGATGTTTCTAACTCTCTATCTCTCTCCCTTTCTCTCTGTAAAAAATCAATAAAATATATTTAAAAAAAAACAAAAAAAAAACACACACACAAAAAAACCCACACCTAAGTCTAGAATTAAATTGGAGGCATGTCTGTGCCTTAAGGTCAATGCAAGTACAGTTTTGGGAGGAGGGGACAAAGAGGTGACCACTGGCTGTCTTGACCTTGGGCCTGTCCCTGGTACAAATGCTCTGCAGAGCTAATCTCTAATCTGCACAGCAATACTGCATTTCGGGATGTATTCGGCTACAGAACACACTGTGCCAGACTCAATTTTGCTTGGCTATCCTAAGAAAACTCAATTAAAATAAAATTAAAGAAGGCTCAAAAAAACCCTGGTCTCCTTGCTGAAATTTCAAATGAAAGATCTGTACAAAAACACAGGTTCTTCTATTTGTACTCCCCTCCCATGTTTATTTTGCCTGCAAAACTGGGCCACTTTTCAGAGACATAACTGTTCCCAGCAGAAAGCTAGCCTCAAATACTGCAGGGTATGCTGGGGTGTCAGGGGCTGGAGAAACTCAGGAATCGGGGCGCAGTTTCTCACCACCTCCCTCCCCTAGTGCCAGGGCAGCCAAAGAACTAATCTGAACAGGGACTGAGCAGCCTGAGTGCAGGGCCGAGGCAGTTCTCTGGGACCCGTGAGGTGGGGCGGTGGTTTTAGAATATGACTGCAAAGTCTTTGACCCTCCTGCTCATCAGGAGGTGAGGTGTAATTCCCCTTCCCTGAATGTGGACTGAACATAGGAGTCCAATTCTAAGGAAGATAATGCAACAGAAATGGCACTGAGTTACTTCAGAGGCTGGGTTAGAAAGGGTGACACAGCTTCCATTGGTTCTCTCTGGGGACATTCATCCTGGAAACCCAGCCACCAGGCCCTGAGGAAGCCCAGGCCACCTGGAGTCCATGTAGGTGTTCCAGTCAAGGGGTCTGCTGAGACCCCAGCCGACAGCCAACACCAGCCAGCAGATGTGTGCACGTGGTGAGGACGCCTTGGCCATGGCTCCACCAGCTCCATCTACACCCACGAGACATTCCAAGGGAGAACTGCCTAACTGAGGCCAGTTCCCAGACCACACAAGACGATAATAATAAAAAATGATGTTGTTGTTTCATGCCTGAGGTGGTTTGCGAGGCAGCAACAGCAGTAGAAACAGTGGGGCAAAGGAACGTTTCCCAGGCATTGCAGGGCAAGACCTGAGTGCCCAGCCCAATTGACGATTCCAGCTGTGAGGTGAGAAAGCTGCACGGGAGCCGCCCAGCCAGGGCCCGGGAACTGCACCAACACTGCAGGGAGCAGGCCTGAGGAGCTGGGATGGGCTGGAGGGGCTTGTCCTCGGACATAACTGTGCTGGGTGCACAGCCCCTTGAGAAGCTCTACGGCTGCAGCCTGGCCACTCGGGGACCATCCCATGGGGACCCCAGGAGGCCACATCTGTACCCTGCTCCTCGGTGCTCAGGCACAGGACTGTGGCTCCTCCATGAAAGGTAAGTGGGGTCTGTCCCCTCTGAGGCCTAAGGGGGGCAGCACACCTGGCAGAACCAGAATTCGGAACTGCTGGGCTTGGGATCTGCATGGTTGCCAAGCATAAAAAAACCCAAACATCTAAACTCTTCTCATCTGAAGCCGCTAAAGCATCACTCACTTGTCAACTCCCTGGAAAGCAAAGAGCTAACTCGGTGATCAATATTTCCTTTCTTTAGAAAACGTCAACTTTCTAAAGAGAAACAGGAAGAACAATGGCAGGAAGTTCTGAAATCCTCAGCTGTGAGGAGGGAAATGTGCTGCTCCATGTGGTAAGACTCCACCTGCTGGAACTGAGGATGATGCCGCCTATCCTTACCCAAGGCCTGAAGCACATCACATACTTTCAGCACAAACATTTAAGCGGTTTTTATAATGTAGCATCGAAGACAAACTCAGGCAAAGAACCCAACTCTGGCCAATTTCATGACAGTCTTTCTCACCTTCCTGAAAAGTGAACAGTTCCAGTAAACATGACTAATCATGGAAAAACATCATTTCATGCTAAAAAATTAAGACTGGAATTCCTACCTTGAAGGTAAAAAATGGAAATGCTTTATAAGAATGGGTACTCCACATTGCTATTAGACTAGTTCAAGGCGAAAGTTGAAAGATACTAAAACGATTCCTCCCCACCCTGCCAGGCTGTCTTCTAACTGTGCGGCTGCAGTTACACGGGCACAGTGCTTGGATTTGCTTCATTTCTCCAAGTCTTAGTTACCTGACATGCAAGACGAAGCTAAAAACACCAGCCTTCTTGAAAAGTGGGCCGCAAGGAATCTCAGATACAAATAATTGCAAAGCACTTCATAAATATTTAGACTTTTAAAAACCTCATTCTATTCTCCAAGTCTTTGGAATTCTCTCCATCTCACTACTTAAAACTTGAGTTGTTATTTAAGACTTTTTAATCTACATGGCATGGTTTACCTTTGTGACTTTGTCCATTCTCCTTCTGGAATGAGAAAGCAGTTCAGGAAAATGGGCACTCAGGATGCAGTCCTCGGGGTGCCCCACCTCAGCACGGTGGGGAGGATTCTCAGCGCGGCGAGGGCCACTTCTTAATGCTGCTACAAACAGCTACGATGGTGACTGGCTTCTCATCACTTGGGCGGCTCGCTCTCAAATAAACCCTCTTCTCTCCATGTCAATTGGCTCCATGTGCATCCAAGTCGTACACTATTTCAACAACCCCCTAACTGGCCTCCTTTCCCCCTTCAAAAGACCTTCCCCGTTGCTACCAAAACGTTCTACTAAACGTGCAAATCTGAATTCAGACCCTTTAACTGTAACTTCAGTGCTAAAGCTCTATCCTAGGGAAATTGGGATTGGGGTGAAAAACAGCACAGCCGGTGTTGCTCAGTGGTTGAGCGTTAATCTATGAACCAGGAGGTCAATGGTTCCATTCTTGGTCAGGGCAAATCCCGGGGCTGTGGGCTCGATCCCCAAGGTGAAGCATGTGGGAGGCGGCCGATCAATGATTCTCTCTCATCATTGATGTTTCTATTTCTCTCTCCCTCTCCTTTCCTCTCTGAAATCAATTATTTTTTAAAGTCCCAATTAAAATAACAAGTTATATGGTCACGTAACCCATGTGCCAGGGCTTCAAGGCCTTAAAAATGGTTGAGCAATCGTCTACAAAGGGACAGTTATTCCAAGGAGTTCTTTTCCCAAAAGACAGACTTTTTTTCCCCTACTAACACAGCTTCTAGCACATGACATAAAAATAAGACCCTAGCCCTAGCTGGTTTTGCTCAGTGGATAGAGCGTCAGCCTGAGGACTGAGGGTCCCGGGTTTGTTTCCGGTCAGGATACATGCCTGGGTTGTGGGCTCGATCCCCAGTAGGAGCTGTGCAGGAGGCAACTGATCAATGATTCTCATCATTGATGTTTCTGTTTCTCTCTCTCCCTCTCTGAAATCAATAAACATATATATATTGGTCCTGGTCAGGGCATGTGCAGGAGGCAACCAATCGATGCGTTTCTCTCACATCAATGTTTCTCTCTGTCTTTCCCTCTCTTCCACTCTCTAAAAAAAAAAAGACCCTACCCAGCCTCAGAGACCCAACGCCACAGAAGTCAACCCTTTATGGGTCTCGGCACACCTCCCATTACTAATTCATTCACCCCATGCATGTGAAAGTGGTCTCATCAATTACCCCTGTTTGTGAGGCAGTCTAAGCCAGCAAGCCACTCTACCACCACGGCGGGCTCCACCGGCTTTGAAAGGATACATATAACATTAAAAGCTTTGGCGTGTTACTGGCTTTAAAAATTAAATCTAGAAACTTTTCCAACTTCAACTTCAATTCTGGACTCCAAGAATCCTGAAGAAGAAAAAAAAAGGAAAATAAAATAAAAGCTAGGTCACTAAATGCCAACAGCATCGTCAAGTTGTGGCCTTCAGGGTTAAATAAGCTAGATGTTTTGGCAATAGTGTGGTGCCTAAAACACAGGTTTTAGGACAACTGACCAATTCATTTACAACAGATTCAAGTACCCACAGCAGGAAGGAAAAACAGAGTTCTTTCATAAACAGGGGAAAAATAACCCTGTACATGATTTGAATATTTCATGTGATTTAAACACAAGCATGACAAGTAACCTTATTAGATTGATTACCCACAAGAATTCAGTACAGTTGAGGCATACGTGGCCCTGGCAGGCACACACAATGACCACTGAGTTACCTAAGGCCTCCCGAAGAAAGGCACTCACTTCCATAACCCTCATGTAGGTAAGGAGGAAAGACAGTACCTCATGCACTCCATCGCGTCAGGAGTTACGATATATTTTTAGTTTGATTTGTCCCTTAAAAATAAATTATTTCTCTCAAGTAATGCTCATTGAAAAGAAAAAAATAACTTTAGTGAAAGAAAAAGGTGTCATAAGCAACAATCTTTCTCAGGGCAATTTTCCTCATAGCCTTTATATAAAAATATCTACCACCCAAACTAACAAGTTCCACCAAAATGAAGCTGTATCACTGAAATTTCCTATCCACTGACCCGCACTCCTGCTCGGTCCACAGACCTTCCGCCCTCCCCACTTGCTCTCCTCCAGCTCCGTAATCTCACCCAAGCCTCCTGCCCCACCCAATCAGTCATCCGGTGTGTTACCTGACTTTCAAAAATTACTGCCAGATAAGCAGAAAAGTCTTGTATTTAAAAAAGATTTCATAATTCCCTGACGCAGCATAACTATTTACAATGTGTGTGTGTGTTATGGCTTGAAGTGTGTCCCAATCTCAGAATGTGAGGTCATTGGGGACGGGGTAGCTGCAGACGTAATTAGTTAGGATGAGGACATATTGGAGAGGGTGGGCTCCTAATCCAACATGAATGGTGTCCTTATAAGAAAAAGGAAATTGAAATGGTATAAATACAGATGTAACAGGAGAATAAAGGGAGAACCTGGCTATGCTGATGATCTGAAAAAAAAAAAAAAAAAAAAAAAGGAAATTTCAGACAGACACAGAGAGAAGATGGCACGTAAGGACAGATCAGAGGCTGGAATTATGCTGCCATGAACCAAGCAGCACTTGAACCTTCCGGAGCTGAAGAGGCAAGGAGAGACCTTCCCCTGGAGGCCTCGCAGGGAGTCCAGCCCTGCCGCAGACACCTGGACTTCAGACCTCTGGCCTCCTACACTGTGAGGCAGTCAGTCTCTGCTGTTTTAAGACACCTCGTCTGTGGTCCTCTGTTCGGGCAGCCGCAGGAAACTAACACAATGTTAGGCTCTCTGTGCTCAATCTACAGAAAAGAATCCCAGGAAAGGACTGCTATGTTGGCCAGCATAAACCAAGACATTAAAAAACAAAACAAAACAAAACAAAACAAAACAAAACAGAACATCTGGGTGTCCCTAGACACACTGTAGTGAAATTATAGTCTTAAAGGCCAACGAAAAAGACAGATCACCTAAAAGTAGCAGCAATTAGACTGATGGCCAATTTCAAAATAGCAATAATGGGAGACGAAATGATACCTTCAATGTTCTAAAAGAACGTAACTGTAAACCTACTGTCCTGAATTTGAGAATGCAGTCAAGACATTTGCAGACAAACAAGAACTGAAAGAAGGAGTCCACAACCAAGGGGGATTTTAAAGGAATGTTCTTAAGGTGGAGCAGAAAATGGCCCAGAAGGAAGGTCCTTAACCTTCCCTGAGGTAGCAAGCAAAATATGGGCAGAGGTAAGGCTAAAGCTATGCACACACTGATTGCATAAAACAGCAGAAAAGTCTAATTTGTGGGGTTAAACTAAATAACTAAAATATTTGACAATAGCAGCACATAAATTGAAAAGGGGATGAATGAGGTTAACACATTCTCGGAACCTTGTAAGGTCAGAAAGAAAATAAAGACATTAACTTTAGATTTTATTATGCATACACACTAAAGTATCTATGATGACCATTACAAGAACATATGTAGGGAGTAGCAAAAAGAAAAAGAAAAGGAATGAAACGACTCCATGAATACTGATGGTCTCTCAATTCCTGACTGCCAGCTTCACCTCACCCTTACTTAGCTAAGCGGTAGCCATGCTGCTATGTCATAATTTTCACAAACTGAAGTCTTCACTGTGAGAAAATCTACCATCCTTGTCAAGTTTACCACCTTCTTAACCCTTCTATCTCAACCTTCTAGGAGAAGAAAGTGGTAAAACTAAATTTGGACTGACCAAAAACAAAACAAACAAGCACAGAATTCAATGTAGGCTACTTTACAACAAGCCTGCTTTGGTGAATCAGTCAGCCTCTGGTTTAGCTGCTACTACTAAAGAGGGAGAAAGTTGTTTTACTGAATCATAACAGAATAGGAAACTGAAATGCACTGGGTTCAGGAGAATTGCATCCAATCGCAGAGGAGTAAGCTCCATATAGACTCTTTTTATTTTTTTAAATATATTTTTATTGATTTCAGAGAGGAAGGGAGAGAGAGATAGAAACATCAATGATGGGAGAGAATCATTGATTGGCTGCCTCCTGCACGACCCCTACTGGGGATTGATCCCACAACCTGGGTATGTGCCCTTGACTGGAATCGAGCCTGGGATTTCAGTCCACAGGCCGACGACGCTCCATCCACTGAGCCAAACCAGCTAGGGCTCCATATAGATTCTTGGAAACAGTATAAGATCTTTAGATAAAGCAATCTACATCAAAAGAGTTCAGGCTCAAAATACATTTCAATAAACTTCTGTGGGACATATTCATTTTAGTAAGTCAACAAAAATTACTGTAATAGGTAAATCTTATTAAATAAATATTATGCTGAAATTTTAACTAAAATAAAGTATAACAATTAAAAGATAACCCTCTGCCCTGCCCCCACGCATTGCCCCGCCTCTGCCTCACAGGCCCTTCCCTCCGGCCCACCCCATGCCTGGCCCCGCCCCACCAAAAATTAAAGGAGCAATAGGCAGGCCCTGGCCAGGTAGCTCAATTGGTTAGAGTGCCGTCCGACATGCTCCAAGGTTGTGGGTTCAGTCCTGGATCAGGGCACATAAGAAAGCAACCAATGAATGCACAAGTAAGTGGAACAACATATCTCTCTCTCTCTCTCTATCAATCAATAAAAAAAAATGTTTTAAAGACCTATAGGTAAGCCCTAGCCAGTTTGGCTCAGTGGATAGAGCGTTGGCCTGCAGACTGAAGGGTCCCAGGTTCGATTCCCGTCAAGGGCATGTACCTTGGTTGCGGGCACATCCCCAGTAGGGGGTGTGTAGGAGGCAGCTGATAGATGTTTCTCTCTCTCATCTATGTTTCTAACTCTCTATCCCTCTCCCTTCCTCTCTGTAAAAAATCAATAAAATATATATATTTTTAAAATGCCTATAGGTAAATAGTCTGATGGAAATAATAGTACAAATCAGGTAACCAAATATACACCAAATAAGTGAGAATTTTAATACAAATTAAAATACATAACCAAGCACTGGCCGAGTAGCTCAGTTCATTTCAGCGTCATCCCAAAACGCCAAGGTTGCAAGTTTGATTCCTGGTCAGGGCACATACAAGACGCAACCAATGAATGCATAAATACATGGAACAGCAAATTGATGTTTCCCTCTCTCTCTCTCTCTCTCTCTCTCTCTCTGCTCTCTAAAATCAATTAAAAAATATATATGACCAGCAATTATGTAAAGTACTCTAGGTCTTTTTCAGGCTACTGTCAATGTAATTGAATTATCCATCCAATACTGAAAAAGTATACACAGAATGATTTAAGAGATTAGTATATTAAAAATATTTATGTTGGTCTGTATTAACAAGTGTGGTACAACCAAAAAAATCACACTTTATGGCACAAGAAAGTTTGTTAAAGCAAATTATCTGAGTGTTCTTAAATTGCAGCATAAGCAAACATGAGCTTTTACAGCATCTTTCAGAAACCACCAGCATGAACAAGGTGAAGCCACATGCTGCCAGGACTGACGGGCTCAGAGGCTGTCACTTACCTGGAAGAGCTCTTTAAAGGATGGGTGCACCATAGGGTTTGGAACAAACGGCAGCGCATAGAAAGGGAGGAACTCTGTGGTCTGGCTCAGAGCTGCCCCTTTGCTCTCCAGGTAGGTTTTGAAATAAGAAATCCTTTCATCCAGTTCCTCTTTGTCCTACGAGGAAGGGAAGATGCTTGCTTGAGGTCCCTGCTTGACGCCAGCCCGCCCAGCCCACTGTCCACCCCAGCCTCTCTCTCCAGCCTCGGCGCTGGCAGCCTCCCCAGCCGGCCTGGCAAGTGCACTGTCTCCAGTCATTGTGACAATGCCCGCAATTTCACCCCTTCATGAAACTGTCAGGAATATCAGAGAACAGACACATGTTCAATATACGGCCTTTTACTTGATTACCATTTTCTCGCATCCTTATGATGCATCATAAACATCATTTCAATGGCAGGACAAAACCTCATCTTGTGGGTCTGTCATGATTTAACCAATTCCCCATTATTAGATATATACACAGTTTCCACATTTCTGAGATCATAAATATTTGTGTGCATCTCCATGATTCCCTTAGGAGAGAATCAGGGCAGGTCTTTTGAAAAGACCTTTTGAAAAGGTGAATAGTTTTTTGAAACAAGTTTCCACATCTCACTCCTTTCCTTCATTAAGGTAACTGAGCACTGACCTTGCCTGCCTCACTAATTCCACACGAAATCCAAGGCAGGTCCTTCCCAGGGTTTCCATCTCCTCCTGCGCCTCCAGCCTTGAATTTGGCACTTTCCTTCCCAGACACCCTGGCCTCACCAGTTACTCCCCTCACAGCTTGTTCTAATCAAAGCATCTCACTGCACCTATCATGTTTATTTATTTTTTTAATCTTATATCAATGGGAAAATTAGAAAACAGAAATACAAAGAAAATGAGAATCTCCCATGATGGTACCCACATGAGTGCTATGAGTAGCCTTCCAAGAATGGCCACTACAATGTTTGGTAGGCTGCTCCCTCCATCACTGACCCCTCCTTTGGCCCCTGACAGTTTAATAATTTAACACAGGTCCTCGGGGCGGCAGGTGGTGCATGGAGAAGCCACTAACCAAGTGCATGTGGTCAAACGTCAGGGCGGCACTGCTCCCTGTCACTGGCTCTGCACTGGGAAGCTCACCGCCACGGCAGCCTCAAAGCCCTCTCCTCTCTGCAGGTCTCCAGCCCGCCCTCCCCTGGGAAAGACTTCGGAAGCTAAACTCATCACTCAACAAACGGACCTGCACAAACAGGCATACCATTTTTCTACTGTTAATGCTTAAACTTCTCTTCGAACATATATATGGTCTAATATGTGGTCTACATATGTGTTCTTAGACAGACATGCATATGTTTGCTGAGTTTTCAAAAACTTGAGGCATTCAGGAGAACAATGCAGCTTTCATTGCAGAAGCTGTTAACTCTCTATGTAAATTAGAAAATAAGCTGCTGCCCTGGCCGGCGTGCCGCTCAGCAGTGAGAGCGTGGGCCCATGCACCGAAGGGTCATGGGCTTGATTTCTGATCAAGGACACATACCTAGGTTGCAGGTTCAATCCCCAGCCCGGGTTGGGGTGCGTATGGGAAGCAACCATCAATGTGTCTCTCTCACATAAATGTGTGTCTCTCTCACATAAATGTGTGTCTCTCTGTCTCTCTCTCTCCCTCTCCCTCCCTCCCTCCCACCCACTTGCTCTAAAAAATAAAATAAAATAAAAAATCAATGGAAAAAATCCTCTAGTGGGATTAACAAAAAAAAAAGAAAGAAAAAAGAAGAAGAAACTGCTGGGAATGAGGTAGAAAATTATTCATCAGGACACAAGACACGTACCCCTCAGCACTAAGAGAAAGTGGCCATAAAACTAAATTAATGCTCATTAGGAAACATAACAGCTATCATTCTCCCTTAACACATTATTTGGACCAAACGCATCACAAGGGGAACGTACAGGTCTCCGCACGGAGCGTTTCAGAAGATAGATGGCAAAATGGATGTGAAGGTAGAATTCCAACCTCTGGGCAAAGGAGTCACCATCTCGGATGGAGCTGGGAATGTGCTCTTCCCACAAATCGAAGAACACCTTCTGGGCTCCGTTGTCAAACGCAGCAATGAGGTCCTTCTGTGGAGAAGACATCAGACAGGAGCCCAAGCATAGGGTGTCCTTTCTCCCGACACCCAAATTCTCACAGCCCTCCCAATGCCTCAGAGACCCCGGACTCCAGGTTTCAGTGTGAGGAAAGCAAGTCTCCTTTTCAATGGTAAGGGGCAGAAAACTGAGACCCAGGGCTCCAAGCTCCGTAGCTGAGATTCCTGCAGACCAACCCTGGTTTCCCACCCCTTTGCAGTATCCAATCCGGGCTTTATAAGAACCCAAAGTGACAGGCCTTAGATGGAAGGATTCAGGCAGAGGCTAAAGACTTGTGGCCAAGAACTCACAGGCACATAAATACAGCAAAGTTGCCCAACAGATGAACAGAGGCCAGACTGAGGGCCCAGGTGGGCCTCAGCGCAACAATCCTCCTGTATCCGGAGCTTGCCAGCAGCAGTGCCAAGTCCCCGGGCGCAGGAGCTCACATGCTGACCCCGTTGAACCCAGGCCTGGAGGCGGCACTGCTATTTGCCCTGTTGAAGCATGTGGCGCAGTGGGAAGCGGTCACCCACATAGAGACTGGGCACTCCAGGTACAGACTCAGGCTGGAGATGGAGGAAGGAGCCAGACCAATCCCATTCCAACCTCAGAGCTCGAGCCTGACTATGCAGGGCACCGACAGCTTCCCAACTCACCACCCAAGGAGAAAGGAGGTGGCGATTAGCACGTCACCTGCCTCACAAGAGGAATGATCACAAATACCTGCTGCACAGGCTTTCCGAGTCAGGTACACGGCAGAAGCGAAAGACCTTCCCAACAGTCCCAGTCAGTGTGGCAGCAGCTCAGTGGCCAGGTGCCTGAGCCCCACCTGGAGCTCCCCGGGCCCCTTCGACGATGCCCCGCGCCAGGCCATGGGAGTCAGGGACCAGGATCAGGTAGGCAGTAGGCAGTGGCTGTGGCCTAACTTCCAGCTATTCAGTGGGCCTCTCAAAACAAGTCTCAAAATTTTCTTGGAAGTGGGTGCATTGAGACCAATAAATTAATTGAAATAATAAAATCATGCAAAGCTGAAATATGCTGCTCAGGAAGCAGTATCTTCTCATCACTGGGTGTAGTCAAGGTGAAGTTACCTAGAATGCTATGAATGGTAAGGAGGCATCAAATAATGGCTGAAACAAGGGACTTTACGGTTCTTTCTACCCCTCAGGTCTGCCCTTCGCAACCCACTCGTATTCACAGAGCGGCTCCGGCCTTCCTGGACAGGAAGCTGTCCTGTCCGTGTGCCCTGCTCCCTCCTCCAGCCTCCCCAAGCTAGAGCGCCAGGACTGTGAGGGCAAGGGTTTTGTTTTGTTTTCTTCACCACTGTGTCCCTGGCACCTGGAATTAACAACCTCAAACTCCTCAGGATGGGCATCACATTTGTCTCAGTTTCTAAGCATTGCAAGGTTTCCTCTTTTACTCTTCCCAAGAAGTGTATGTGAAAGGTCTTGTGTCACCACCCACTTCTCAGGAAGGGTACAGAGATGTGAAGATGACACTACTAATTCATCCCTAACACCTGAGAAGTCTGAAAGCCACTCTGACCAGGTCCCCTGAAGAGATTCCAACATCCTCAAACCGTAGCATTCTTTACAAGTTGGGAGCATTTTGATCATCAACAGAAATTTTAAAAAAGTCAAATGTTACCTGGATTATCGATGATTTGGAGTCCCTTAAGGAGCTACCTGCTGTTTTGGGTAATGCTTTTCCCTTCGTTTTGCATTCTTTTGAAAATGTTTTCAAGGTGTCTTCAAATTCAGCAAAATCTAAATACTATAAAAAGAGACCACAAACGTACATATAGTTCTCTGTTTTAACATCAATAAAGTAACTGCCTTTGACGTAACTGTACCAGTTCAATATTATCACCAATTTCTAATGGGGTTAAGGGACTGTCATTTTTGGGAGAATCTCGGATCCAGCTTAGAATTTACTTATCCATACATACACTAAAAGCCTACAAAGACAGTGACATAGAAAATGCTTCTTTACAGAAAATAAGTTGGCTTTCAGGAGGAAAATGTGAGCTCCATGATTCATTGTAATGATTAATAGGAAATAAACCATGTTTGCAGCAGTCGAAAAAAGTAAGTGATGGGCAGACAGCCTTATGGCTCTGGGTCAGGTAGGTCTCTGGGAATTTGTTACTTGAAACAGAGGGATGAGAAATAATGCCCGTCCCTAAGAGAAGCCACGAGAAGATGGGCCGTGCCATCAGTGGCCTTCAAGCAGAGCACTGCTGACCCTGACGCCCCAGCCCTGCTTCCGCACCACGGTCCACTGCTGCTCGTGACCCTCCGCCCGCCTCCCTTTGTCAGTCACACCTTTCTGTTTCCACCTCTCCTAACTGTGACCATTTCCCCAGGCCTGTCCCCAACCCTCTGCTGTGTGAAGAATTTATTCATGCATCGATACCTAAAGAACCTTATTAAGTTTTCTGTTCTTAAAAAGCTCAAATGGCCGAAACCGGTTTGGCTCAGTGGATAGAGCATCGGCCTGCGGACTGAGGGGTCCCAGGTTCGATTCTGGTCAAGGGCATGTACCTGGGTTGCGGGCACATCCCCAGTGGGAGATGTGCAGGAGGCGGCTGATCGATGTTTCTCTCCCATCGATGTTTCTAACTCTCTATCTCTCTCCCTTCCTCTCTGCAAAAAATCAATAAAATATATTAAAAAAAAAAAAAAAAAAAAAAAAGCTCAAATGAAGGATGACTTCTCAAGCTGATTTGAGTATAGACAGTTTGTGCCCTGCTGCTTCTTTCTCTTTCAGACGTGCATGCATTTAGACAGCTGCCGTTCACATATATGACTTCGCGGGCTCTGAATTTTTTATGTTGAAATAGTTTTATTATTAAAGTATCTACAGATACTAAAAAAAAAAAAAAAGAATTTATTCATAGTCATGCCAACAAATCCCAAAGCTGCATCTCTAGGTGGACACCTAGTCCTTGCTCCACTGCCGCACCTCTCGGTGCCTAGTGGGCAGTTGGATCACACAGTAAAGCAGCAGCGACTGTTTCTTTAGCAGCAACTATGTGCCAGCCCCACATGAAAAGCAGCAGAGAACACCAGAAAGCATAAGGCGTGGGTCCCACCCTTCAAAAGCCTTCAGCGTGGGACACCGAAATGTCCATCAATAGGCATCAGGGAAGGAGCTACGATGCAGCCACTCAATGAAATGCTCTACAGCATTAAGAAATGTGTGGGCCGCCGAAACCGGTCTGGCTCAGTGGATAGGGCGTCGGCCTGCGGACTGAAGGGTCCAGGGTTCGATTCTGGTCAGGGGCATGTACCTTGGTTGCGGGCACATCCCCTGTGGGAGGTGTGCAGGAGGCAGCTGATCGATGTTTCTAACTCTCTACCCCTCTCCCTTCTTCTCTGTAAAAAAATTAAAATATATTAAAAAAAAAAAAGAAAGAAAAGAAATGTGAGGACCACAGGGAGATGTTCAGGCTATGTGACTTTTTTTGTTTTTGTTTTTTTTTCTGGGTATATACCTTTATGATTTTATTTTATTTTATTTTATTTTATTGCTTAAAGTATTACAAAGGGTATTACATATGTGTCCTTCCCCCCCCCCCCCCCCGCCCTTGACAGTCCCCTAGCCTCCCCTATCCCCCAGGGTCTTATGTCTATTAGGCTATGTGACTGTTAACGGACAAATGACAAGCTACATGAACAATGTGTGTGGGACCATCCCATTTTGTGAAACAAATTACAGGCATGTGAATATATTTTGAATATTCATAGGAAGGAGTCTGGGAAGATAATACTCTAAATTATTAGCCATGGTCACTGCAGAAGCGGAGAGAGAAAATTCAATGTTTATACTTTCAGGCTGTTTGAATCTGTTACCATAACTATGTGTTGCTTTTATAATTTTCTTTAAAAGATTTCTAGAAAGCAGCTTTAAGATTTCAGTTTAGTTAGTTATGAAAACAAAGTGGAAACACAGGGAAAATTTTGTCATGGAAAATAGATAACTGGGATGTAATGATAGAAGAGACAGGGCAAGGCACTAGAGAACCTGCGCGTTGTAAATGCAAGTTTTACAAGTTTCACGGGCTTTTTCTGTAGTATAACATACCTACCTCTTTCACTAGTCCAAGTAATTCGGATTCATGAGCCAGGATATCCCCCATATTGAAAGGTTACTGTTAATTCTCACAGCAAAAATCTCTACAAGGCAAAAATATTAAACAAAGGCTTTCATTCTAGCCATCTGTGAAATCATGGAAAGGTGGCTGTGGTGTGCAGGATAATGGTCCCCAAAGACGTCCACGTCTTTATCCCAGGACGCGGCCAATCTGTCATATCACCAGGCAAGGGGGATTAAGGCTTCCGATGACACTACGGTTGCCAAACATGACCTTACAATAGGGAGAGTATCCCTGGCCAGGTGGCTTAGCTGGTTGGTGCATTGTCAGTACACCAAAAGGTTGCAGTTTCGATTCCTAGTCAGGGCACATACCTAGGTGGCAGGTTTGATCCCTCAGGGTATCGACGGGAGGCAACTGATCACTGTTTCTCACGTCAATGTCTCAATCTCTCTCTCTCTCTCTCTAATCAATAAAAATATATCCTCAGGCCCTAACCAGTTTGGTTCAGTGGATAGAGCGTTGGCCTGCGGACTGAAGGGTCCCAGGTTCAATTCCGGTCAAGGGCAAGTACCTTGGTTGCGGGCACATCCCCAGTAGGGGAAGTGCAGGAGACAGCTGATCGATGTTTCTAACTCTCTATCCCTCTCCCTTCCCACTGTAAAAAAAAAAAATCAATAAAATATATTAAAATATATATATATATATATATATATATATATATATATATATATATATCTCCTCAGGTGAAAACTTAAAAAATTATTTTAAAAAAACAGAAAGAGTAGCTTCTTTCCCTTGTAAGCACAGGGATCCTTACAAGGGAAAGAGGGAAGCAAGAGGGTCAGTGCCAAAGACCCAACCAGCCATTTGCCGGCCTTATAAGTGGAGGAGGGGCCAGGAGCCACGGAATGCAGGAAGCTTCTAGAGGAAGCTGGAAAAGGCAAGGAAGAGATTCTCCCCTGGAGTATCCAGAAGGGAACAAGCCCTACAAACATCTTGATTTTAGTCCAGTGAGACCCATTTCAGACTCCTGACCTCCAGAATGGTAAGATAATAAACCTGTGTTGTTTGAAGCCATTACGTTTATGGTAATTTATTACAGCAGCACTAGGAAATGGGATAGCTAAAGTCAAAAGTAATTTCTTTCTTCTATGTAATGAGTAATAGTAATTCTTTCTACACTTAAAATGAATGTGGACAAGGACTAGAGGATGGTGTAAATGAGAAAGTCAAAGACTGCTGGTGAGACTGTGGAAGATTATTTTTCTTAGAGTTTTCTAATGTGCTAAAATGTGGTATGCAATTCAAATAGTCAAGACCACAAAGTATATTTAGAACAGAATAGAATTTAATAATAAGGTCAATTTATCTACTTTAAGGAAGGAATTAGAATTAATCTGATGTAAATGAACCCAGTCACTATCCCTCCCTCTGCTCCCAAATGAAAATATTAAACATTGACAAAAAGTCTGCACAATTTTCAGTTTTCTCCAACTTCCGTGTCTGAGTTAGGTTAATCAGAGTGAGGCTTTCCCAGAAAATGGGAAAGCGAAAACAAGCATAACAGTGATGGAGCATTGAAGCTAAAACGGGGAGGGAGGTACATAAGGGAGTTGTAAGCCAGACAAAAAGTAATGGGACCAAAGACCTGCTTAAGAGGCACTTAAAGTGAGCTTTAAAGAGAGACGGTGGTGGTCAGAGAGGGGGATGGGTGCTTGCAATAAAAATTTTGGAGGTGGTGCATGACCACACTGTGGGTAGATGAGGATGATGGAGGGAAAGATGCCTTGTGTGGCCAGGATGTTGAAATAAAAATGAGGTTGAGATCTGGCCAGTGTGGCTCAGTTGGGTGAGCATCATCCCAAGCATTGAAAGGTTGCCAGTTTGATTCCTGGTCAGAGCTTGATCCCTGGTAGGGGAGGCAAGGCAGCCTATTGACATTTTGCTCTCACATCAACCTCTCTCTCTCTCTCTCTCTAAGTAAACAAATGAATGAATAAGTAGAATGAGGACAAGGAGGTGGAGAAACAGTGAGTCAGGAGCTACCATCTCCAAGGAAAACAACTGTGCCTCTGATAGGTGACTGCCTCCAGGAGTGGGGGCAAAGTGGTAAAGCCCATGGCATATACTTCAGAGGACAGGGGTGGTGATCTGGAAGTAGCATTGAGGAGCAGAAAGAACCTGGGCCGCACCTGCCGCCTCCAGGCCTGCCAGATTCATAAGGTGTGAGGAGAAACACAGCCCCTGTTTGAGGACCATCCACCCCACCCCTCCAGCCTTTCTCTGGACCCGTCCTTTTCCCAACTCCCTTCTACCACTGGCCCATGTTAGGCCCGGCCAATAGTGAACTCCCAGTCACTGTCCCATACAGCATGCTCTTTCTAAGCCCTCTGATTGATGCCCCACCTCATAGGCAAACTCAACTCATCACACTAACTTCATCCAGACTTGACCTCCTTTAGAAGTCTTCCATGAGCCCCTCCCCTTCCTTCCCCATCAAGGCTCTCTCCTCTGGGGTGCTTCTGTACCCTACATCTATTTCTATTGTTATACTCATCACCCTGTTTACCAAGGCAGGAAGCTGTATTTAATTTCTGTATCTGCAGAACCTAGCAGAGTGCCTCATAGGCATGATAGGCACCCAAGATGTTTGACGAAGAAATGATGCCCAAGCAGAGGGAACAGCATTTTTGAAGTTCCCAGAACAAGAAAACTTTGTTATTTTTTGAGAATTCAAGTTCCTTCCTCCCTCAGGGCCTTTGCACATATTGTTCTCCTTGCCTGCTAACACTTGCCCCATCTCCTGCTTCACCTGGCAAACCCCTCTACTTAATGAATATTTAATAAGCAATTTGTGATCATCATTCAAATAGGATTCTGTTGTGATTTTCTATCAGTGAAGGTGAGCCACTCACTATTGGGTATTCTATTACTCTGACATCCTTAGAAATTACAGAATTTTCCTCTAAACCTGTCTATCACAATAGGTTCATTTATTGAGGATTTAATGTATGCCAGACAATGTGCCAAAAAAAAGCGTTACATTTAATTTTCACAATACACCTGACAGGGCAATATGTCTTACATTCTCCTTTTGCAGGTGAGGCAACAGAAACTCAGGGAGGCTGTGGTGCTCCCAGTAACTCAGCTAGCAAGTGGGAAAGTGGGAATTTAAATCCAGACCAACATTAACCACTGCACATTATTATCCAAAATTTGCACCACCTGAATCCGAATCACCTGGGATGCTTGTGCGAATGGAGGTTCCTAGAACCACCCTGATCTCATTGAACATCACGGCAGGCACGACGCCCCAAACTGTCTTAAACAAGCTCTCCGGATGATCTTTATGCACATGCAAGCTTGAGAACCACTGCTCTGCTTCATGCAGAAACTGGAGAAAACTTCTTCACTTTTGAGGGCTGCAGTGGCAGCTTCTGAATTCCTATATAATAAACTGGGTTTGTGACTAAGGGTAAGACTGTGGGATGTGTCTGGAAGAAGAATTTGCACAGTAAGCATCCTGTTTTTGCTTAGAGTGAAGGAAATCTGGACTTCACGGGGTGCCTGGGAACGGTGGTTAGCTGATGGAGATAACGGAGGAGGTGAATCTAGAAGTCCCAGGCCACCCGCTCGCACCGCCACTACGATCTGAAGGGACCCCCGCCAAGGGCGGCCCCACCGCAGCCACGATCGGGGACTACTGGCGGGAAGCAGCTGGGCCTGTCCTCGGCCCACGCCGCGGGGAGAGCCCCGGACCGCAGAGAGGAGCGGAGGCAGCTACAGCGGCTGCCGAGCTGGCACGTCGGCAGTTCTCTCTGGGGCGAGGGCTCAGCACAACCGCGGCCCTCGGGTCCCACCGCTGCTCCTCCCTCCCGGGGCGGCGGGCTCGGGGGTGGCCCGGCCCCACCGGCGTCGTGCTTACCTGGGGCTCTGCCGCGGGCACCCGCGCCCGCCCCGCCGGGCCGCCAACTCTCCAGCCGTCGCCCCGGCAACCGCCGCCGCCTGCTCAGCGTCACGTGGGGAGGCGCAGCCAATCACGGGCGCGGCGGGCGCGGCGCACCCTGGGAGGAAAGGCGGGAGCTTTGGGAATGCCGGAGGCGGCTTTCCTGGGGCGGAAGTGAAGCGAAGTTGCCGCTGGGGGTCCCGGGCTGCGTGTCGGTGTCTCGGGTCCGACCCTCCACCACGGCCTCCATTCACCTCCCGCAGGGGGCCGGGTCTCTGTTCCCAGCTCTGGGGATGAGCCCGAACACGCTCAGGCTCTACCCTCAGGAGCTGGTTGTGTCACCGGGAAAACGGAACCCGCAAGAGAAGATCCGCTGTCAGTGTTCGCGGAAAAAGATGGGATTCGTGATTTTCATTTTACTGGAGTGACCCGGGACCGCCTTAGGACATGTCGCCCGAGATCTGCTTAAAGCTCCGGGGACGAGGGCTCCACTCCACTTCAGCAGGTTCCAGGGATTTTTGGAGAAACTTTCCCCACCCTCCCTGCACACACACACACACACACACACACACGAAATTTGTTTTTTAGAAATAAAACTGGAGCCCTGGCCGGGTGGCTCAGTTGGTTGGAGTATTGTCCTGTACACCAGAAGGTTGCAGGTTCGATGGTCGTGTAAGAGACGCAACCAATCCATGTTTCTTTCTGACATCGGTGTTTCTTTCTCCCCCTCCCCTCTAAAATCGGTAAACATATCCTCTGGGGCGGATATATATATATATACTAATAAAAGAGAAAAATGGTAATTGGCGTACAGCGATACTGTTTTCATTGGCTAATCAGGGCTATATGCAAATTAACTGCCAACTAAGATTGGCAGTTAACTGCCAACAAGATGGCGGCTAATTTGCATATGTAGGCACAATGCAGGGAGGCGAAAGGGAAAGCAGGAAGAAGCCCCCTGCCACTGACAGTGATCGGAAACCCAGGGGGGAGCTAAGAGCTGGGGGGCAGGGCATGATCGGAGAATGCCCTGCCCCCCAGCCATGATCGGAGAATCAGGCGCCTTTGCCGCCCTGGCCAGTGATAGCAGGAAGTAGGGGTGGAGCCAGCGATGGGAGCTGGGCACGGTCGAAGCTGGCAGTCCCAGGAGCTAGGGGTCCCTTGCCTGGGCCTAAAGCGAAGCCCACGACTGCGGGTCCCCACTGCCCGGGCCGGACGCCTAGGCCAGAGGCGTTAGGCCTGGGCAGGGGCGGAGCCTGCAACCGCGGGGAGCTGGGGGTCCCCTGCCCAGGCCTGACACCTCTGCCGGAGGCCTCAGGCCTGGTCAAGGGGCCGATCCGGTGATTGGTGATCGGAGGGTGATGAGGGTCAACTCCTCTGGCTGAGGCATCAGGCCTGGGTGGGGGGCGGAGCCGGGGATTGGGGGGATATCATGGTCCCCTTGCCCAGGCCTGAAGCCTGGGTCAGAGGCGTCAGGCTTGGGCGGGGGTTGGAGCAAGCGATCAGAGGGAGATGGGGGTCCCCTGCCCAGGCATGATTCCTGGGCCAGAGGCCTCAGGCCTGGGCGGGGGCCAGAGCCAGTGATCGGGGGGAGATGGGGGTCCCCTGTCCAAGCCTGACACCTCTGGCGGAGGCGTCAGGCCTGGGCAAGGGGCCGATCAGGCGATCGGAGGGTGATGGGGGTCAACGCTGAGGGCTCCCAGTATGTGAGAGGGGGCAGGCTGGGCTGAGGGACACTCTCCCCCCCACCCCCACCCAGTGCACGAATTTTGTGCACCGGGCCCCTAGTATGTATGTATGTATATATATATATATATATATCTGGAATGCAAAGCCTCCTTGTAATGGTGCTCTTGAACTGAAGTTGCCCAACCCTGGCTGGAGGCTGGGAGGTGGCTAGAGATGGAGAAATCCTTCTCTTCCAGACATTGAGCTGTATGGTGGGAGCCTCTGTCTTCCCATCTCCATGCATCCAAGAGGGTGAGGCGGGGAGAGGGCATGTGAAGGCAGGGGAGCCTGCCTTTGGAGAAGCCCTGAGATAGTCTGTGGCCACCATCTGCCCAGCCACCAGTCCCCCCAGCCCCCGCTTCCCTGTGCTCTTTTGAGATTCTCTTCAAAGAAAAACTGTATTTAGCAGGAAATGACATCCTCTCCAGGTAATATGTATTGAAAATAATCTTTCTGTTCATAGTAATAAAAATTAAATTGATTGTCAACTCATTGTGTGGCTGGGATTGTCAGAAAAAATACAGGACACCCAGTTAAATTTTAATTTCAAATACGTTTTTAGTATAAATATATCCCAAATATGACCTTGTTATTATTATTATTGCCTATACAGGATATTATATTAGCGAAATATGGTGACTCTGTGTGTGCCAAGCATTATGATAAGTGAATTACACAGATAAATTTTTTAAATTGATTTGAGAGAGAGAGAAAAAACACACATCCATTTATTGTCCCACTTATGCATTCATTGGTTGATTATGCCCTGACCCAGGGATCAACTTGCAACTTTGGTGTATCCAGATGATGCTCTAACCAACTGAGCTACCCGGCCAGGACAGATTATTTTAATTCTCACACCACATCCATATATAATGTGGATAATGTTTTCACAGTTTCACAGATTAGGCGTTGTACTTTACCAGAGCCCTGTGCTCGTGATAAACCATAATGGTTAAAAAAAACTCCCTCCACCCCTTTTCGTTCTGGGAAGCGGTTTACCAAAAAGAACTACCTTTCCTTATGTGACTTGGATGAGGCTCAATGCCCATGGAGTGTTAAGACTTAACCTATTTAACCTGGTGTGAGTACAAAGAATACCTTTGTCACAAAGGCAAAACAGCTTAGGACTGAAGCTTCACCTGGCACTACCCAGGGTGGCTCTGCTCTGTATATTCCATGAGTTCCAAGCAGTACACTAAACCCGCTGCCTAATCTTCCCAATTCTTAAGACTTGCCAAGCATCCCGTTGGCCCTAAATGGGTTGTTCTTGTTTGACCACTCCAGTTTTCCCAAGTTGCCAGAGGGCCCAAGATGACTTTCTATTTAGTTTAATTATGAAAATTTCAAACACAGGCAAAAGTAGAATCATTTAATGAATCCACATAAATCCATCTCTCAAATTCTAGAATTATCAAGATATTGCTGCTGGGGAAAACTTGATACCGAATTCAATCTTGGAATATGCAGAACACTTCGGGGGAACTAACCAGCCTTGCACTGGACATCAAAGCAACGGACTGAGCTCTGCATTCAAGAAAGGACACAGCTGAGACTTCTGCAGCCCACCGCCCGCGGTGGGCCCCTGCCCTTGAACTCCTTAGGGGTTGGAAGCCATGCATCCCTGTAGCATGCTACACAGCTCTTGAATGAGGTCATCTTTGCAGCTCTAGTAGGCAACTAAATGCCTGGCAGCTGAGACAAAAGCAGACGAAGAGGGTACAAATCCCCAACGAGGGGGGAGCTGGTAAACCGTAACCCCTGAGTTGGATGAGGGGGTGAAGCCCTCAGAGGCTGACCTGCTCCAACAAACCTGGCAGCCAGCTGGACTGAACTTGTCTTGGAGCTCCTGCAGGGGGCGCCCAGACCAAGAACATGTCTCGGAGCAAGCGCAGGATCTGGATTTAATCAGCAGGTTGAACAAGCAGCCTACTGAAATACAAGGCACCAAGCAGAAAAATGAGCTACTGCAAGACACTGCTTAGGGAAAGAAAAAAAAATTCCTTCCAGGAAAGTTGTGTTTTGCCCCAAACTCATGATGTGTGAGGGCTGCAGATCCACCTCTCTTCCTGGCCCAGAGTCTACAATAGAGGTGGAGGAAGTGGGTGTTGGTGTGTCTTTCAGGCTGCTTGATTTCTTGGAAGGAAAGCACACCCTGCTGGAAATACAACCCTCGAGGGAGCCGTCAGGGAGCAGGAACACAGGGAGGCCTGAAAGCAGGGGAGGCCAGATTTCCACCTGGGCCATGAGTGCTGTCCTTTGCCTTGTCCCAGAGATGTGAGTCACATCACAGCCCCCAGTAGTTCTGGGGCCTGGAGGAGGTTGACAAAAAAGACCCAGGCCTTAAAATGCACTTCCCAAGGAGCCATCTGGATCCAAGATCGTCTCAAGGGAGGTACACTTCTGCTGGGCTCTCATCAGGGATGTTCCCAGATACAGACACTTCAGATTTTTTGAGGAATATCACTAGTTTCCAAACAAGTGTAAAACACACATTGTGGGGCACGCGAGGTGAGCAAAGAGGATGGATGGTACGTTGGCCTGAACTGGAAGAGCAGATGCTAAAGTGACTGAATTTGGGTGGTTTCCTGATAGGTCTGCACACCTGGAGGACCAGCTAACATGGTACACACAGAACATCCTGAGTTATGGGCTGTCCCCGTCTTTTGCAGGGAATGTTTCAGGTGAGATTTCCAGAGCCGCTAACCATGCACGCCCTGGCCTTCTTGTCCCGGCCTAAGAGCCAGTCCTACCTACTTGCCCCAGACCAACGTCACATGATCATTTATTGCGTTCATGGTGAAGCCTATGATGTGAGAGAGGGTGTGAGACAAAGTGATAACCCGGTTACCAAATAAATATCGGATTAATCGTAACAATAAAACGAGTACTTCATGCTGATAAAAAGTGCACATAGTTCCGTTAAAGCTCCCTCTTTACCCTTCTCCCCACCAGTAATGCAAGGCCCAGGGGCTCCTGCACCCGGGACCAAAGCTAAGATGTAGCACTCCGTTCACCCCTGGGTGAAGCCTTTCACTACAGGACACACGAAACCAAAAGTGAAACTATGGGCGGAGAGGAGAGGATTTGGCAGGTCGCTGCGGCCTTTCCTAGTGTGTCCCCAGCGGCCGCAGAGTCACCTGGGGCCTTAGACCTGCCCGTTCTCAGACCCGCGCAAGCATTAAGTCTGGAGGTGCGGGCAGCCTCCTGGGCGGTTGGGGTGGGCGCTCCAAGTGTGGGGCCCGCTGGACGGAAGGTCTGGGGAGAGCGCCAGGAGCCCCTGGGCGCGCGGCCCGCCACCGGGACAGATCGGGCCCCAGGCGGGCGCCCCGCG